GTGTCTGGCCATGGAACAGAGCCTTTATGACTGACTGAGTCATTTCTCTCAGGTATATGTTAACTTTTTCCAGCATGCTCCTTTCTCTCTTCCTCCTGACTGCTTGCCCTTCTGCCATGAGGCCCTCCTCACCAGAAGCCAAGCAGATGACAGAACCAGGCTCTTGACTTCCATCCTCTAGAAGAGTGGGCCCAAATAAACTTCTTTATAAATTACCTAGGCTTGGAAGTAGAGGTGTGGCTCAAATGGTAGAGTGCTGTACCAGGCTTAAATATCTGGTACAGCAGCAGGAAATGCCCAGCACCTTCTTTAAAAAGGCTGATGAAGGTATTATAAATGTCAGAATTAAAATATTGGTTACTTCTATGGGATTGGAGGGGGAGTGGGGAAGGAACACAGGAGGCTCATTGTATGTATGATAATGTATTTCTTAAATGAGGAGCTACATATATAATGCTTGCCTGAAAGGCGTCATAAGTGTTAAATGTATGAAAAGCAGAATAAGTCTTGGAAAGGAACTCAAAGCTTAGGATGAAGAAATGACTTTATGGGCTAAAAGTCTTCACCTGAAGTCGCACCCCAGCACATCAGCAAAAATCACTCAGACAATCTTCCCTAGAGCGAAGTCTCTATTTTGCTGACAGAGAACAGATACAAAGCAAAAACAAAGCAACAAGGTAAATTTAAAAGACCACTACCAAGTTTGGAGTCCTAGCCCAATAAGGTATATGTCTCAGGTCCTCAGAGCACACACATTTGCCACTGTTTCCTATGCATTTTATAGACATCCTTGTCAGATATGTTCTCTGCTGATGACAAACTATGTCAAATTCATTTAGGGGAACAAAAATCCACAGTGGATCAGGGAAACAACATTCCTTCTGTCTCTTTCCTATAACGATCTCTGTTCCAGTCTCAAGTCCCACTTGGATTTAAATATAAAACAAAAGCTAAGGACTCATCTGTACAGGCTGAAGGGAAGAAGTCTAACCTTTCTGTAGGTTAAAGGGCACTGGGGGAAAGTTCACTCTCAGTGTCTGTCAATCAGTAACAGGCACAGGGAGTTTTTAATATGGAGTTTCAATATGGAGTATCAGCTGCTTTGATGGCTCCAAAATAATTGGTTTTCATTGGTTTTGCTTCAAACCTATCTCAGAGCTTTGGTAGCATGCAGTACATACATTTAAAGAGAAGCAAATCAAATCCACTTAACCTGTTCCATTCAAAGAACCTGCTGTTCCACTCATGTTGACCTATTTCCTACAGCACATTTCCTGCCTTGTAGTTGTGTTAATTTTAAAAACTGTGTTGCATGTAGATTTCCTTTTGTTGTTGTTCTGTTCTTGCTGCTGTTTGTTTTTCAAAATACTTTTACTTTTTCAAGCTACTTTTCTTTACTTGTTCACCTACACATAGTAGCTGGTCCAGGTATCATGCCAGGTACTGGTAGAACAAGGCAGACCTCTGTCTCTCTGGGGCTTCACAGTCCAGTGTTCCTAAGTCCCAGGTCTCTAAGCTGCTGCTTTACGATATTTTGGGCATCAAAGCTACCTCTAACACCTCTTTAACCCAGCCCTGGCCTGAGATCCTGCCACTGGGGCCCTCCTTAAAGACCTTGAGGGCTGAACTCAAGGTCACAGGAACCATATCTTGACCCATAGTGCCCTTGGTTATACTTATTGAGAATTTACTATGAGCTAAGTTCCCTCACAGAGCCAGCCAGGCAAAGATGCCCAAGGGTGAAGAAAAAAGTTGGGGGCGGGGGAGGTGCTGTACAGTAGTATATAAATTTTCTGTTACAATTTTCTGTCTTATTTTATTGAGACAAGGTTTTGCTATACAACCCAGGCTGACCTAGAATTCCCTATCCTCCTGCCTTAGCCTCCCAAATGCTGGGGTTAGGGCATGCCCCAGCACTCAATTTCCTCTTATTTTCATCTGCTTTCCTTTTTGGCCATTCTATAAATGTATCACAAAAAGACCTAAGTAATTTCTTCATCTGATACCCAAACACTTTGTCCTTTGCTAAGATATGTCTGTGAGAATATTTCTCCTCCCAGGTTCAGCTAGTGTTTTGATTTAAAATCATCACAAGGACCCTTAGTGTCTCTGTGGGTTTACTGAAATTAAAATGTATTATTAAAATTCTGGGGTCTAAGGAGCTGGACCCTGTAGAAGCTGCTGCTGTCCTCTGAGAGTATTTTCTCCATGCACTGTTATTTGTAACCCTTCTAAGATTTTCTGTCGTCTGGATATGAAAAAGTTGTCAAACAGCCCTTAATACTCTCAACTCACAAGGCAGATTCTGATGAGTGTTTCTATCCTTTGGAGAATATGTCATCAGTACTTTAGGTTTTTCTTTCCAAAACAGTTACATTTATTCCTCCCTTGAGGGATAAGGAACGACCCACCCACACCCAAAAAGTAAATAAAACATATTTCAGTAAAATAGCCAACAAATAAAATTCCATGAAGAATGAAGTGAATGCTTACAAAACTTACACCGTCTTTGGATAAATTACAGATTCTGGGCTCTTTAATTTTACTTTTGAACTCAGGACCTCACACTTGGAGGCACACCCTGGGATCTTTTCATTACAGCTGGATTGCAAAGGAGTTGCTCCCTGACCTGGATGGGGAACAAGACTCTAAATACCTCTTATGAATCATCAGAGGCAAATGTAGAGTTGAATGCTGAATCCTGAATCCCAGACAGAAAGGTGTAAAGGTGAAAGCAAGAACAATTTCTATAATTTTTCTCTTTGCTGAAATAGCAGAATCTAGTCAGTTGAGTATTTATGCTTCCGCAGAACCACTTAATCCTAATTCCAGGACTAGGAGAGAGTGAAGGAAGGGGTAACATTGTCCAAAAACAAATGTACTCATTATCTGACTTATGTAACTGTAACCCCTTTGAACAGCATGTTTATAATAACAATAAAAACACAAACAATCTTAATTGCAAGGATTTGTTCCAATTTACAATTGAGTTTCCACTGCATTTCCTACTGAGTAGTTCTTTCAGTATTTGTTTGACTGGGAAGAAAACACAAAGTCTCATGAACTATTGCCCATATATGTTTGTAGTAACAGTGTCAAATGGATTCATCCTTGAATTTATAAGTCTAAGTTAGTCAACAGCATTACTTTGGGGATTAACTGATGCCTCAAGCATCAGTTGGTTCCCAAGTCAGGGCAAAATCAAGTAGAGCAGGATTAAGAAATAAAGTATATTTTAACTTGTCCTGAGATGCTGGTACAGGATGATTCTGATGCAATGGGGTAGAAAGTATAAGTACCTTAATAAATAATAATTCCACCTGAAGGAGGAGAATGGGGTCTTGCTTCTAAACATAGGAAGTACAATGCCAAAAACTACTGGAAGCACACAAAGAATAATCTTCATCCTTCTGGAACTTGTTTACTTCCCAGTAAACAGTTTAAAATGAAGCATAAGGTTCACTACATTTTTACTTGAAATGGTAGTTACATAGGTGTACATAATGTTAAAAACTTTGACATTTTTATTTCCTCAATAAATGTCATAGTTATAATATGGATACCTCCTCAGAAATCTCTCAGCTGAGGGCCTATGATCCTAGCTATGCAGGAGGCTGAGATCTGAGGATAGTGGCTCAAAGTCAGCTCCAACTGGAAAGTCTGTGATATTCTTATCTCCAAAACCATAAAAAAGCCAGAAATGAAGTGGCTCAAGTGATAAAAAACTTAGTAATGATAGCATCCAGGCCTTGAGTTCAAGCCCCAGAACTGGAACACACAAAAAATAGAGAAAAAGGGAGAAAGAGAGAAGAGGAGAAAGAAGGTGGGAATGGGAGAAGGGGGCAAGGAAGGAAGGAAGGAAGGAAGGAAGGAAGGAAGGAAGGAAGGAAGGAAAGAAGGAAGGAAGGAAGGAAGGGAGGGAGGGAGGGAGGGAAGAAAGGGGGGAAAAGGAAAGAAGGAAAGGAAGATCTCTTTCTCTTGGATGGCTCCATATACAGGATGGTAATCATTCTGTTTTCCTTTGACAGAGGTAGAAAAAGGTATTGAAATAAAATGGAGACCATTTGGAAGGGCCCAGGGCTATAAATTGAAATTTTTGTGGGTTTAGAAATCCCTTCACGGGGCTGGGAAGATGGCTCAGTGGCAGAGCTGGCCTTGAGCTGAAGAGCTGGGGGACAGCGCCCAGGCCCAGAGTTCAAGGCCCACGACCCACAAAATAAATAAATAGATAAGTAAACAAATCCGTTCCCTTCCAATTGCTTCACATTCGTTATGTCCACGCGCCCACTCTTGACCGTGTCTCTGTGCTCTTATCTTTTTTGCTTAATACACCAATCCCTCAAAACCTTAGCCTTTCCATCTTGGATGTAACTGGAGATTTTGCATTATTTACTTATTTATTTTGTGCAACGAGGGTTAAAGTGCGCTTCTTTCGGCTCACCGACTTCAGCAGTATGATTAAAATGCTGAGCCGCAAGGGGGTGAACCCGGAGGGCACAAAGACGACTGTCACACAATCAACCGCCAGCCGACTGAAGCCCACACCGGTCCCAGCAGCTCGGGTGCAGCGGGCCGCGCGCCACCGCGGGCCGCGCCGCCGCCGCCGCCGCCTCCTCCTCAGCTCCGGGCAGGTCCCCAGCGCTCAGCCCCGATGTGCGCATGCGCCAGCTCTACCCGGCCCCGAGGGCACACGCGCAAGCGCTGCACCCCTTTCGCGGTGTGGACGATGCTCTTGGACTTCGGACATAATGGCGAAAGGCCTCTCCGGTGCGCCTTCTTACCTGCTAGGCGCAGTCCGCAGCCTCCAGCTAGTCCCACCTCCCACCGCCACAGAGGACCTGCGAGTGGAGGGGGCGGGACGGGGGTGCGCCCGACTCCCACGGGAGACGAGGCGCGTTTGCATTCTCACCTCACGCGGAGCCCGCGGCCCTCAGCTCCGCCTCTTCCTCCGCGTACTTTAACGCTTCCGTCGGTCCGCGCCGTCCCTTCGGCGAGTTTACTTTGCCGGGGGAGCGTGTGTGTGTGTGCGCGCGCGCGCTGGGCGGCGTAGCGTTCGCCTTCGGGAGGGCCTTCGAGTTGTAGGTCGAAAATGCCGCGAGATAACTTCGCCGAGCCGAGAGAGCAAGAGGTGTCCGGTGCTACTGTCATCGCCCGGGCGCTGCTAGCGCAAGTACGCAGGGCCCCTCGGCGGAAGGCCGGCGGGGACCCCGGCGTTGTCTTGGAAACGGAGGGGGCGGGGCGGAGCGCGGGACGGAGGTGGGGATGGTGGGAAGGATGCGTCCCGTTTGGAAGGGGCCGGGCGTTTACTCCCCTGTTCTCTGGCTCCTAGGATGTGAAGTACATGTTTGGCATCGTAGGCATCCCAGTGACCGAGATCGCCCTTGCGGCCCAGGAATTGGGCATCAGGTACATCGGGATGCGGAATGAGCAAGCGGTGAGTGTGGGCCTGGGTAGCAGCCTCAGGGCATTCATGGGTATGGCGCCTAACTGTGGCAGCTTTTTCATTGCAAACACTCAGCTTTGCCCACTATTCTAGTGCATTGCACCTGGCAGTCACTGTTGCCAGTCTTGTGGAACTTGCCTGAGGTTGATCCAACCCAGGTAGCCTGGGTCCAAGTCCTGTGCTGAATTGTGCACTGCCACGTTTGAGTCAGAAATGGGATAATTTGAGCCAAGTTTGTATTCCAGGTGGGCAGAGATGTTGTGTGTGTGTGTGTGTGTTTTTTCCCCACAACATACTTGTATTACCAGTGCCTGGTGTGATGATGCCTGTACCTGGCCGGGGCTCAAAGAGCACCCGTGGGAGGAATGGATAAAGGCCAAACTTCCTGTTATGCAATAGGTATGGGGGCAAAGTGAAAGCAATCCTTTAAAGCATGATTGAAACTCTGAAGTCTCAAATCCCGGTGTAGTCCTTTTTTCCACACAGAATGTTTTCACTTTTCTTAGAGGCTTATATGGAGACAGGGAAAAGGAATGATGACATTTTTGACAGCCCGTTTTCAGTACTCTCTCTGCCAACCCAGCCCTACTTTTCTCTCAGGAATGCCAGCAAAAAAGGATCAAGACTCTCCTTTGGTGACAGTCCAGCGGAGACTATCTATTCCTGCTTTCCATTTTCATTATTGTCCTCTTACTCAGGCTCCTGCTATCTTTTGCTCTAACTGCCTTCACCTTCTTCAATGAGGCCCTTCCTCTGCCATCAGACATGAGCCCCTAAAGAACAAATTGTGGCTCATTTCTTTTCCTTCCTTCCTTCCTTCCTTCCTTCCTTCCTTCCTTCCTTCCTTCCTTCCTTCCTTCCTTCCTTCCTTCCTCCCTTCCTTCCTTCCTTCCTTCCTTCCTTCCTTCTCCCCTCCTCTCCCCCCCACTCTCTTTCTTATTTTTTTGTGGCTCATTTCTTAGCACATTCCCGAAGTGCTTTTACATGTTGTAGATGATTAGTACATTATTTATTAATCGACATTCCTTATCTACAAAGTCTGAGATGTCTAGCTTTATATGCATTTTACTTTCTTCTTTTTGTTTTGTTCTTTTTTATGGGGGAGTAGTTTACTGGGATGGGCTTGGTGCATAGTAGGCAAATGCTTTACTACTGAGCTACACTGTTAGCCCTGCATTTTACGATTCTTAGTTTTGCTATGGGAAAATAAAATAATTGAACTATTAATGAACCCTACATTTTTGTTTTTTTGTTTTTTTGGGTCCGGTCATGGGGCCTGAACTCTGGGCCTGGGCGCTGTCCCTCAGCTCTTCAGCTCAAGGCTAGCACTCTACCACTTGAGCCACAGCGCCACTTCTGGCTTTTTCCTTTTTGCTTATGTGGTGCTGAGGAATCGAACCCAGGGCCTCTGGCATGCAAGGCATGCGCTCTACCACTGAGCCTCCTTCCCAGCCCCTGAACCCTACATTTTGTTGCTGTTCTGGAGGTGATATATCTGCTGTTTTTCTTTATACAGCAGACATTTATTATATATACACACACACACATATATATATATATATATATATTTTTTTTTTCTAATGTCAGTAGTGGCCCCTGAACTCTAAGCCTGGATGCTGTCCCTCAGCTCTTCAGCTCAAGGCTAGCACTCTACCACTTGAACCACAGTGCCATTTCCTGCTTTTTCTGCTTATGTGGTGCTGAGGAATTGAACCCAGGGCCTCATGCATGCAAGGCAGGCACTCTACCACTGAGCCACCTTCCCAGCCCCAGTAGACATTTATTGAGTACATATTATATGCTAGATATATGCAGCATTGGCAGTGAAAGAGAGGGATATAAAGGAATGAAATTGAGTCTTGACCTTTAAGCTAATACAGTCTTGAAAGGTAAGGGCAAAATATACAGGAAAAAAAAAAAACTTACTGTTAGAAAAATGGAGGAGAAAGGAAGGAAATAGGCTGGACTTAGTATTCCACAGGCAAGAACTGTTTATTGAGATAGAGCAGCAAGGGACATAGCCTTCCCATGGGCTTGGAGATTATGTGCAGAGCTGGGCTCAGGAATGTGGTTTTATGAGGTCTGAGCAAGGAGGCAGTGGTTAATGAAAAAGCCACTAGGTTAAGGGAGGTGGGGGTGTCAGGATTTTCTCTTGGGCCCAGGATGGAATGCCCTGCTGGAGTCAGGCAGTCTTCACTTATCTTTGGGGAGTTGCCTGTATGCACCTGGGAAAACAGGATGAGGGTCAATTCTTCACTTGCCTCATGTAATAACTGTCTACAATAGCGGTGCACATAAAGAACAGCAGAAGCACAAGGTACATAATTGGTTCTCTTAGATGGAACAGACAAGATTGCCCATAGGAGTAATATGGGTTCATGTTGTATCAGGTTGTTTAAAGGCCAAAAGGAGGTACTCTTCTTTAACTGGAAAAGGATCCGAACTTTTCTACAATATAAAGGGTTTTCTAAACAGATAGGAAACACAATTTGGATTTGGCTTTAGAAAAATTATGTTCCTGGTATTGTGAAGTGTAAACCAAGAGTAAGAGCCAGACAACTGACAGACTCCCACTATGTTGGGTACTAGTTGTAGATAGTAAGTGCTTCTGTGAGGGACTTGGGGCTATAGAGTCAGACACACAATTTTATTATAATCTAATATTATAAAAGATGAATGCTGTAATTGAGATATATTTAGGGTGTTGTGAAACCGTGCTCAGCTTAAGACTTCAAGGAAAGCTCCTACAGGTGATGACATCTGCCACTGCCTTGAAGGAACAGTAGGGATTACCAAGAAGGAGAAGCAACATCTTCTGCAGATGATTTCTGGGTTTAAGGCCTTTAGGACTATGTGGATAAGTTTTACTGACTGAAGCTTAGAGAGGGAAGAGCCTTGGAATAGAAAGCTGATGAGTTCAACTTCGAACATCTGAGTTTAAGATGCCTGTGGAATATCCCTACTGTGTATGATCCTTAGACAATCTGAGTTTGTAGCAGTCAAAAGAAGTAGAGCCAGGCGTGGCTGGCTCACACCTGTAATCCTAGCTACTCAGGAGGCTGAGATCTGAGGATCATGTTTTAAAGCCAGCCTGGGCAGGAAAAGTCCGTGAGACTCTGATCTCCAATAAACCACTAGAAAACTGGAAGTGGCACTGTGGCTCAAGAGGTAGAGCACTTGCCTTGAGCTGAAGAGCTTAGGGACAGCGCCCAGGCCCAGAGTTCAAGCCCCACAACCGACAAAAAAAAAAAAAAAGAAGACTTAGGTGGTGATGGATGATTCAAAGGGAACATGCTCAGAAGGATTGAAGATCATGTTTGTGTCAAATAGATATAATTGAGTAAGATTTGATTATTTTCTTCTGATCCTTAATATAATCAAGACATATGTTGGACAGCAGGTAGGCATATTGTAAGAAAGTTTCTTATTGAGAACTTACTATGTGCAGGCAGACATACGTGTACAAACCAATTTTATCATCCTCATAGTTCTCTGAATTACATTAATTTTATTTTTTTATTTTTTATTTTTATTTTTGTCGGTCGAGGGCCCTGACCTCTGGGCCTGGGCGCTGTCCCTCAGCTCTTCAGCTCAAGGCTAGCGCTCTACCACTTGCGCCACAGCACCACTTTCAGCTTTTTCTGCTTAGGTGGTACAAAGGAATTGAACCCAGGGCCCATGCATGTGAGACAAGCACTCTAACACTGAGCATCTTCCCAGTCCCTCATTTTATACATAATTCATTTTATATACAAAAGCCAATGTGCAGAATAATTTGCTAAAATTACACAGTAGAATATAGAGGAACTGGGATCTAAATCAGAAATGTTTATCTTCAGAATCTACTGTGTTAACAGCATTCTACTAATCCTGCTTATAAAGTGGAGGTAATTTGGTAGGGAAACATATTTACATATACTTATATGTACATATACCTATATATATACATACATATATATGCATAAGTGTACATGCACATACATATGCATATGTGTACATATGTATATATGTACATATATACACACATGCAAATGTATGTGTACACATGTATATATAGGCACATGGGTGTACTTATATGCACGCATACCAATATACACATGTATATATACATGTATACATATATGTCTGTCTGTCTGTCGTGGGACTTGAACTCAAGGCCTGAACACTGTCTGAACTTTTTTGCTCAAGGCTAATGCTTTACCACCCTGAAGAACAGCACTACTTCTAGTTTTCTGGTGCTTAATTGTAGATAAGAGTCTCTTGGCCTTTCCTGCCCAGGCTGCCTTCAAACCATGAACCTCAGATCTCAGCCTTCTGAGTAACTAGTGTTACAAGGGTGAGCCACCAGTACCCAACCCAGATATGTTTTTTTTAACGATTGTGAAACCAATTACCTCTTGACTTTTGACATATACCAGAAGACTATACTTTCTGTTATATGTTTTTGTATATTTGTATTGTGTAATAATGTTCTCAGCCTGCTATATTAAGTAAGTGGTGATTCTTATCATGTAAGTATTCTTTTTTGCTGTTTTTGTTGATCATGGGGCTTAAACCCAGTCTGGGCACTGTCCCAAAGCTCTTTTTTGCTCAAGACTAGTCCTTTACCACGTTGAGCCACAGTGCCACTTCTAGTTTTCTGGTGCTTGATTGGAGATGAGCATCTCATAGACTTTCCTGTTCAGGCTGGCTTTGAACCCCAATCTTTACATTTCAGCCTCTCAACTAGCTAGGATTACAGGTGTGAGCTACCAGTGCCTGGCATTAAATAAGTATTTTTATTGCAACAAGTATTTAAGCACCTGAATTTCTTAGAAGTTGTCTTTGTAAATGTGGCCTTTTGTCAGACGAAAAGGGAGGTGAACAAAGAATGGTTGCACAGAAGAGCTAAGCCTAGGTATAGTTTCTTTTAGGCTGTGGTAGTAACATCAGTCTATGGTGGTCTGCACTGCATTCAAGACAGTATTTTAAAAAATAAATGCAAAAAGAGATGAGGACATGACTCAGTGGTAAAGCACCTGCCAACCAAGCAAATAGCCCTGAGTACCAACAAGAAAAAGAAAAAAGAAACTTAATAGTGTACATTTCTTACTAAAATCAAGTATGCTTAAGTTCCTCCTTTAATATTTGAATTCCAGTCTCTTACTAATAAGTTATCCTCATACTAAAACCATCTAAATATGCTAAATTTCCAAAATTGTTTCTTTGTAGGCTTGTTATGCTGCCTCTGCGATTGGATATTTGACTGGCAGGTAAACTCAAGTCTGCTTTATTTCAACTAGTTTGAAATTTTGGAGTAGGACTACTGTATCATTCACCTGATAAGTTAATTTAAAAAGATTGTGGAAGATGTTATTAAAAGAAAAATAAATTTGGAGCTCTCTGAGGGTCAGATTAGAAGAAGGAAAATACCACAAAAGTGTTTTAGGGTGGAACTTGTTGTCATTTTACTAAGAGGTTCACTCTCAGTGATCAGCTCATGAGTCTTATCTGGATGACTCACTATCCTAACCCATCTCATACAAGAAACTTGCTGGGGCTTGCTCCATTTGTTCAGCTTTTTTTAACATGCATTATACGTATATGTTACCTAACTACTCACACTTATTTATTTACTAAAAGGTTATATCTTTTTTAAAAAAATGGCCATTTTATGCAAGAAGATATGACAGAGTAAACAGGACTCAAGAAACAAAGGACAGCCATCCATTTTGTCATATCATTGTTAAATGACTCCATGTTCTTGACCATATATATGATAGATATATGCATGCAATGGAGGGAAGCCAGGAGGAGGAACAGAATAAGTGGGAAACGGACCAACATTCAACAAAGGGGCCCATCAGCTGCCCTGGACATAGAAGAAAAAGAACTAAGCAACCCAAAGACAGTGATGGGAAGGAAGGAATGAGAGGGAAAGAGGGAACAGCCTACACTAAGCAAAAGGAAAGAAATGTAATCATCACCTGACGTGGAAGAAATAATTTGTATTGTCAAAGCTCATAGAATTCACAAACTTTATAGACCAGGATAATGGCAATTTGCCTTGTGAAGGTTAAAATGTGTTTGTGACTTTAACTATCACTATTCCACAATAATGTGAAATGTGAAATTTATGTAATCACCTAATCTCAAAAAAAAAAAAAGTGAGAGAAGGGATGGGTTAGGAGCGATGGGTGACAAAGTTGTCAGATACTTTGTATTCATATACGGTTTTGTAGAATAGGAACTTCTTTGTACAACTACTTAAAGATAATAATAATAAAGGTTAAAATGTCCATTTTAGAAAACACAGAAATTCATAAGGAAGAAAACTAAAATTATCTATAATCCTACAACTGAGCTGGGTGCTCGTGGCTCACACCTGTAATCCTAACTACTCAGGAGGCTGAGATCTGAGGATTACGGTTCAAAGCCAGCCCGGGCAGGAAAGTCTGAGACTCTTATCTCCAATTAATCATTAGAAAACCGGAAATGGCACTGTGGCTCAAGCGGTGGAGCACTCACCTTGAGCTGAAGAGCGCAGGGACAGCCCAGAATTCAAGCCCCACGACAACCCCCCCCCCAAAAAAAAAATCCTACAACTATTAGGAATTTGCTATATTTTCTTCCTGGTTTTTTTTTTGTACATTCACATGTACTTTTTGTGCAGATTTGGACCCTACTTTTTTGTCTATGTTTTAATAAGTTTTATGTCAGGTACCAGTGGCTTATAACAATGGTCCTAAATACTCAGGAGGCTGAGATCTGATCCTAAATGTTTCCAAGCCAGCCTGGACAGAGAAATCCATGAGATTCTTATAGCCAGTTAACCAGCAAAAAACAGAACTAGAGCATGTCACAAACGGTAGAGTACCAGCTATGAGAGAAAAAGTGGGAGAACAAGAGTCCATGTCCCATCCAATATCAGCCCAAATAAATAATAAATGAAAATAAATATTTTGTTTCAATAAATAAAATTAGGAATTCAGGTGCTAAGAAGTATTTTAAAAGCTGGAAGTGGAACCATGGCTCAAATGGTAGAGCATTAGCCTTGAGCACAAAAGCTCAGGGACAGCACCTAGGCCTTGAGTTCAAGCTCCAGGATCAGTGCATTCTTTTTCATAAATTATAATTTTATTGTTACTATTAACAATTTTGCGGAGGAGTTTTTTGTTGCTGGGGCTTGAACCCAGGGTTCAGGGCCTCACATTTTTAGTTTTTTCACTCATAACTGATGTTCTACCAATTGAGGCACAGTTAGCAGATTGCTGGTTAATTGAAGATGAGCCTTTCAGATTTTTCTGCCTGGGCTGGCTTTGAATCGTGATCCTCAGATCTCAGCCCTCTGAGTAGCTAGAATTACAGGTATGAATCACCAGCACCTGGCTTTTTTTTTTTTTTTACTCAATTGCCAAAAATTTGCCCCTGCAATTGGGGATCTGAGCATTTGCCTAGCAAGTACAAGGCCCTTATTTCAGTCACCAATACTGAAAAAACAGAGTGGCTCCTGTATGCAACCAAATTGTGTTAAATATAATAAAAGCAAACTATGAAGAGGTTAGTGAAATACAATGTGCAGATAACATCTTATTTCTTATAAGAAGACTGGCGTAATCTCTCATTAAAAAATATTGTAGCCAGATGTCACCTTTCTTATTGTGAATTTTTTTCCAATTATAGTAAAGGTTGAGATGTTCTTCCTTTGAAGTCTAGGAAGATTTCTATTTCATTCATTGTAACAGGAACCTAGTCTGCAGGTGTGTACTCTTATTGCTCAGTTAAACTTGATCTGCTTTTAATTAATTTTTTGTTTTTTTGCTTCTAGGCCAGGAGTGTGCCTTGTTGTTTCTGGCCCAGGTCTTATCCACGCCTTGGGTGGGATGGCAAATGCAAACATAAACTGTTGGTAATCAAATTATTGTTATTGAAAATATTTGCCTAAAATGTCTCCGCATGGTCTTGTTATGTAGAACTGATCTAGATTGTACAGTTAGGACAAAAACAAAAACAAAAACCTTTATAGTACGTAGAACCAGAGAGTTAGAAGGTACTTAACAAAAAAGAGGAGGAGGATGGGAAGAAGATTGGAGAGATGGAGGCCCAAGGATACAAAGTTATGGAGGATGTGTAAGCCTAGATAACTGTATGAATACAGTAGTTAAATTGTACCATATTCTAAGAATTTGCTGGTTTTAAGTACTTTTATTACAAGCATATTTCAATTTGTTTGACTGTAGCAATCATTTCACTATGTAGGAGCATATCAAAGTAACATGTTATATGCTTCAAATATATGTAATAAAGAGAGACACTATGAATTCTTTTACTTAGAAACAAACAGTTCAAGTTTTAGGGTTTATATGTATATATGGATATGAATGTATATATTATTCTAAGTGAAGAATTATATTTTAAAGACCCTAGATTAGGAAAGGAAATGTACTTATTACCTGACATATGTAAAAATAACCCTGCTGTATATCACCTCTAAAACAACAATAAAATAAATTAGAAAAAAATCCCAGCTTAGTATGTAAACATCTTAACCATGGGTTTGAATGATTAACAATATTTTACCAATAAGATCAGGTTGCAGAGGATTGTGCTCTAATCAATTCATAACATATATTTAATCTTTTTAGTGAGAAGGACATTTCTTTCTCTGGTATTGTGTTTCTCTTATAGTACTGGGGTTTTGAACTCAATGCCTTGCTCTACTACTTGAGCTATTCTTCCCCAGCCCTTGCTTTGGTTATTTTTGAGAGAGTCTTGCATCTTTTGTTTGACCATCATACTTGCATTTCCAAAATAGCTGACATATCACCATGCCCAGCTTTTTAAAGTTAAAATTGGGTATTGCTAACTTTTTATCTGGGCTGGTGTCCAACTGTGATTCATCTGCCTATCAGTGGTTTGGGCCACTGCACTTAGCCTATACTGTGTTTCTTATAATTGGAGTTTTCTTCTTCCTCCCCCTTCCTTCCTCTCTTCCTTCCTCCCATCTTCCTTCTTCTTTTCTCCTTCTTTCTTCTTTCTTCCTTCTTTTTTAAAATTTTGTACTAGTACTTGGGCTTGAACTCAGGGCCTGGGTTCTGTCCCCTAGCTTTTATCACTCAAGATTGCCATTCTATCATTTAAGCCACAGCTCTATTTCAGGCTTTGTGTGTGTATGTATGTATGTGTAGTTGAGATTTGAGTCTCACAGACTTTTCTACCTGGGCTGGCTTTGAACCTCAGTCTTCAGATCTCAGCTTCCTGAGTAGCTAGGATTACAGGTATAAGCACTGGTGCCTAGCTAGCTCTGTTTCTTTTATTTTTTTCTTAGTCTTTTTCATCCTTATTCACTTTTTTAGGTTCTTTTTTTTAAAGGATCTTTAGATTTGCTACATGATTTTTTTTTTTTTTTTGTGGTGGTGGTGGGGGGATTGGTTGTGGGTCTTGAACTCATGATATGGGCACTGTTCCTGAGCTCTTTTGCTCAAAGCTAGTGCTCTACCACTTTGAGCTATAGCACCACTTCCAGTTTTCTGGTAGTTAATTGGAGGTTAAGAGTCTCATGGACTTTCCTGCCCAAGCTGGCTTTGAACTAAGATCTTCAGCTCTCAGCCTCCTAAGTAGCTAGGATTATAGGCGTGAGCCACCAGAACCTGGCTACCTGATTTTTTTTTTTACTTTGAAGGAGCAAAGTTTTATTGTAAGAACATCACTCATCTTGCCGTTCCAAATAGAATATACTTAGAAAAGTGTCAAATGTCTCTTTCCTGTATCCCAAGAATAACATATATTGTATAAAAATTCATTTTATGCCACGTTCATGCAATGAATCTGAAAGTCTTAACAATTAGCATCCAGAAAGGGCGAGGCAAGAATAAGGAAAAAACATTAAGTATGCATTTTCTACTTTTCTGCAAGGAAACATTCTCTCATATTAGGTCGCATCGTAAGTTTTGTGGGTTTTGTTTTTTTGTTTTCCTTCACATAGTGTTTTGCTGGGTAGCCCAAGCTGCTCTAGAAGTCATTATATAACCTGGGCTAACCTCAAATATGTAATCTTCAGTCTCTTGAGTTCTGAGTTTATAGGTATGTAGCACCACACTAAGCAGTATTTTTTAATTTACAGACTTTTAGGAGGGATGACATTTTCTCTTTGTGTATTTCTTTATCTCTGTCTCTAATATGTATGGAGTTGTTATATATTGGGGCACTGAGTGTTTTGCATAACCTCATGTGTAATTGTCTCTTTAAAAAAATTACTATTTAGGCCCTTGATTGTGATTGGTGGTTCCTGTGAACGAAATCAAGAGGCAATGGGAGCCTTCCAGGAATTTCCTCAGGTATCTAATTCTAATATTCTAACAATATAGTTATAGACAAGATGTAGAAATTCCTGTCTGCAAAATAAAAAATTAAAAACCTGAGTTAGAGGGTTATTATTTAAAGGTGATTTTCCTGAATAAGATAAACTGATGTTGGATATTAAGAAAGAGTTTAAACTGGGCACTGGCAACCCACATCTTTAATTCTAGCTACTAAAGAGTTGAGATCTGGAAGATTGTAGTTCACAGTTAGTCTTGACAGAAAAATCAGAGAGAATCCTCCAAAAATGCCCAAAATAACCAGTAAAAAGCCATTCTGGAGGCATGTTTCAAGTGGTAGAGCGTCAGTTGAGCAAGAAAGCAAAACAAGTGGGAGGTCCTGAACTCAAATTGAAACAGAAACATCAAGGTTCAGGCCTTGCTTAGGAAACTTCCAAGAAATACTCCAAATCAACAGGTTTTGAACTCTGAAAATAAGGAATCTTGCAAGGCCAAGAGGAGTGGCTCATGCCTGTAAATCCTAAATCATCAAGAGCCTGAGATTGAGAGGACAAAAATTCAAGGCCAGCCCAGGTAAAAAGTTTGCAAGACTCCATTTCAGCAGAAAAAGGGTATGATGGTACACATCTGTCATACTAGCTGTGGTGACAAGTATAAATAGGAAGATCATGGTCCAGACCTACCTGGGCATAAATTTGTGACCCTTTTTCAAAAATAGTCATATCAAAAAGATATGGCTCAAGTAATAGAGCACCTGCCTACCAAGGGAGGAATCCCCTCCAAAAAAAATAGTCAAGAAGAATGTAGGAATTAAAATATATTTGAATTCTTATCTCCCAGATTTTTCAGAAATAGTTAAGAGAAAAATCCTACTTAAAAGAAAATGACTATCATACTCTGAACAAGTCTGTTTTTATTTTTAAAGGAGAAAAAAAAGTATTTCAGAAGTAGAAGAAATTTGAAAGAAATTGCTAGCAAAAAATTGCAGGTTGGGGGCTGGGAAGGTGGCTCAGTGGTGGAGTGCTTGCCTTGCATGCATGAAGCCCTGGGTTCGATTCCTCAGCATCACATAAGCAGAAAAAGCTGGAAGTGGCACTGTGGCTCCAGTGGTAGAGCACTAGCCTTGAGCTGAAGAGCTGAGGGACAGTGCTCAGGCCCAGAGGTTCAGGCCCCATGACCGACCAAAAAACAAACAAACAAACAAAAAACATTGCAGTTTTCAAAATGGCTACAGATGTTGAAGGTGAATTAACACTTAATAGTATAAATATCAGAAAAAAATTAAGAGCAAAGAGTTAAAACCATTAGACAAAATCTGTTGGTAAATCAAGAACCAGTGTGAGACCTTGGTGCCAGTGACTCATGCCTGTAATCCTAGCTACTCAGAAGCCTGAAATCTGAGGATGGTGGTTTGAAGCCAACCAGGACAGGAAAGTCCATGAGACTCTTTATGTCCTAAAATGACCAAAAAGCCAGAAGTAGAGCTGTAGCTTAAATGGTAGAGCTCTAGTCTTGGGCAAAAGATATAGTGCCCAGGCACTGAGTTAAATCTCCAGGATTGGCTAATTAATTAATTAATCAATCAAGATGTAACAGATAAACATATATTTGTAGCTGTGGGTAGCTTATTTAAATTTTTAGAAGTATTGTCAGATTCCCTCTATCTATATGTACTCATCCAATCAGTAGTTTATGAGAGTGCCTGGTTTCCTGTGTTTGGCAAATGTTGTGTGTTACCAAACTTATTCAGTTTTGCTGATTTGAGAAATTAAAATATGGACTTTTTTTGATTAGCTTTCTGAAACAGCCTAAGGCAGAAATTTGTGATTTGAATAGACTTTTTTTTTTTTTTTGGGTCCACTCGTGGGGCCTGAACTCCGGGCCAGGGCGCTGTCCCTCAGCTCTTCAGCTCAAGGCTAGCACTCTACCACTTGAGCCACAGCGCCACTTCCGGCTTTTTCTTTTTGCTTATGTGGTGCTGAGGAATCGAACCCAGGGCCTCAGGCATGCAAGGCAAGCGTTCTACCACTGAGCCAACTTCCCAGCCCTTGAATAGACTTTTGAGAAGCAGTCTTAACCTGCATTTTCTCCATCTTGCTTCTAAATGTATTAGAAAATAGTAACATTTTACCTTCCTTCAGGAGAGTAATCTGATTGTGAGCTGAATTTGACATGATTTTCATTTTCTGAACAGGTTGAAGCTTGTAGATTATATAGCAAGTTCTCAGCCCGGCCAGCCAGCATAGAAATGATTCCATTTGTCATTGAAAAGGTACAGTATTTAATTAGATGAATCCAAGACGTCATACATGGTAACCATATACCCTATCGTTAAGCTACACTTCCAGCATTGTTCTTTTTATTCTTAATAGATGAGTGACAATTAACACTATGCCTAGGTTATTAAAAGTGACATTGCTATGGTGAAAAATTGCAACTGAGAAGGATTTCTTGGAAGCTGTGAATAAAGTCATTAAGTCTTTTGCGAAATTCAGTATTACTCCATGCTATATGACATGTAACTAAGTGCCATAGGCTTGCAAATGAAAACATTCCTTTAGTTGAAATCCTAAGCTTGTATACATTTGACATTAACTACCTTGCAACAAAATAAATGATTTCAAAATTGTAAAAAAAAAAAAGTGACATTTCTGAAAAACTCTTTATAGGGGCCAGATATGGCAGAACATACTTGCAATTCTAGCTTCTTATGAGGTAGAGACAAGAGGATCATGGTAAAAAGACCCTATTTCTAAAAGACACCAGCTGTGGTAGTACATGCCTTTAATCTCTGCCATAGAGATAAGAAGATTGTACTCTGAAGCCAGTCTGCGAAAACTTAGCTCTGGACTCTGCTGAAAAACAAGCCAAAAGACTTATTTAGCTTTAGCATGGTTCAAGTGATAGATATAGCACTTGTCTAGCAAGCACAAGGCTTGCAAGACTTTTTTTTTTAAACTAAATAAAACACCAAAACCGAATTACATTTTATGTTCACTGTCATCTAGTTACAGAAACAGAAGTAATTTTTGCACAAAGTTTCTATGCCTTAGTTTGTTGTGTTTTTTTTCTTTATTAAGATGCAGAATACTGGCATCAAATACAGTGAAAACAGGGGTTATACCGTGGGGGAAGAACATAAAAAAGAAAAGAATCACGTAGTTCATTATAAGTACATTAAAAACAATAGCAGGAAAGAAAAAACTACTTGTCCCTGTCTTGGGGTACATGTTGCTTAACATTATCTCATGTGGTCATATGTACATAGCCTTTGGCCTTCTCTGCTTGTCCTAGACATGTACTAGTCATTGCAAACAAGGGAAACCATGGGACCTATGTTTCTTTGGGCCTGGCTTACTTCACTTAATACAATTTTTTTTCCAAGTCTTTCCATTTTCTAACAAATAGGGCAATGTCATTTTTTCTGATGGAGGCATAGAATTCCATCATATATATATATATGTATATATATATTTCTATCACATTTTCTTGAGCTGATTGGAAACTTTGGCCAAGTAGCACGTATAAAATTAACCCTCAGGGGCTGCGATGGTGGCTCAGTGGTAGAGCACTTGCCTTGCATGCATGAGGCCCTGGGTTCGATTCCTCAGCACCACATAAACAAAAAGAAAAAAGCTGGAAGTGGTGCTGTGGCTCAAGTGGTAGAGCACTAGCCTTGAGCTGAAGAACTGAGGGACTGTGCCCAGACCCAGAGTTCAGGCCCCACAACCAGATCCCCCCCCCAAAAAAAAATTACCCTCAGAAATCAATGGCTTTAAGCCGGAAGTGGCGCTGTGGCTCAAGTGGTAGGGCGTTAGCCTTGAGCTGAAGAGCTGAGGGACAGCGCCCAGGCCCAGAATTCAGGCCCCACGACTGGACCAAAAAAAAAAGAAATCAGTGGCTTTCCTGTATGCCATTAATGAGAAGAGTGCAGCTGAAATTAGGAAAGCAACCCCTTTTGTAATAGCCCCACAAAAAATAAAATACTTAGGAGTTAACAAAAGAGGTGAAGGACCTCTATGACAAAAACCTTAAAAAACCTGAGAAAGGAAATTAAAGCAGAACTAACCAAGTGAAATCCTCCCATGCTCCTGGATTGGGAGGATTAACATCATGAAAATGGCAGTACTGCCAAAGGCTATCTACAAATTCAGTGCGATACCTATCAATATCCCAACCTCATTCTTCAATGAAATAGAAGAAGCAATCCAAAAATTCATATGGAACAATAAAAGACCCCAAATAGCAAAAACAATACTTAGTAGAAAGAACAGCACTGGAGGAATATCAATACCAAATTTCAAACTATACTACAAAGCCATAGTAATCAAAACAGCTTAGTACTGGCACAAGAACAGTCCTGAGGACCAATGGAATAAGACTGAAGACCCAGAAAAATCCCACAGACCTATAGCCACCTAAGTTTTGACAAGGGAGCCAAAGAAATAGAATGGAAGAAAGATAGCCTTTTCAGTAAATGGTGCTGGCAAAATTGGTTAAACACTTGTAGAAAATTAAAGCTAGATCTGTATGTATCACCCTGCACCAGAATCAACTCCAAATGGATCAAAGACCTCGAAGTAAAAGTAGACACCCTGAAAACATTACAGGAAGGAATAGAGAAACTCTAGGGCTCCTTGGCACAGGCTGAAATTTTCTTAATAGAGACCCAGAAATACAACAAATCAAAGAAAAGTTGGACAAATGGGAAACTGCAGAGCTTCTGCAAGGGAAAGGATATGGATAGCAAGATCAATAGAAAGCCCACGGACTTGGAGAAGACCTTCAGTAGCCATGCCATACAACGGACAAAGGTCTCATATCTAAAATATACTTACAACTCAAAAAACTAAATCCCCAACAAATCCTCAAAGAACTGCCCAATAAATAAGTGGGCTAAAGACTTAAAGAGAGACTACTCTGAAGAGGAAATAAGCCAATAGATACATGAAGAAATGCTCAACTTCTTTAGCTATAAAAGAAATGCAAATCAAAACAACAGCGAGATTCTACCTCACCCCAGTGAGCATGACTGTAATCAAGAAATCTAATAACAACAGATGCTAGAGGGAACCCTACTGCATTGTTGGTGGGAGTGTAAAGTTCATCCACTTTGGAAAGCAGTATGGAAGTTCCTCAAAAGACTCCACGTAGAGCTCCCTTATGATCTAGCAACCCCAATTTTGGGCATTTACCCAAACAATCACAAACAAGGTCATACCAAAGCTACCAGCACTATTTACCATAGCTAAGATATGGAACCAACCCTGATGTCCCTCAGTAGATCAAGAAAGTGTGTGTGTGTGTGTGTGTGTGTGTGTGTGTGTGTGTGTGTGTGTGTGTGTGTGTGTTTGTGTGTGTTTAACTGGGGCTTGAACTCAGGGCTTAGGGGCTGTCCCTTAGCTTTATTACTAAAGTCCAGTGTTCTGTCACTTGAGCCACACTTCCATTTCCAGCTTTTTGCTGTTAAATTGGAGCTAAGTGTTTCGTGAACTTCTATGCCTGGGCTGGCTTTGAACCTTGATCCTCAGATCTCAGCCTCCTTGAGTAGCTAGGATTACAAATGTGAGCTTCCAGTGCCCAACTTGTTCATTACTTTTTAAATTATATTTTTAATTCTACACATGTAAAGTTATAATAAACCCTTGGGTGTTTTCTCATATACATTTGCAAAAAAAGGGGAGCTGGTTCATGTAATCTCTTAGTTCATTAAGACAGCATATTATGAATTTTAAACTCTCAATGAATACTTTCCTACCTCCCCTCTTTCAAACAAAGAAATCTCTTAAAATGTGTAAACTTAATGAAGGACATTTTTTGTTTTCTTGTCCTAGGATGACTAGGAATATTGAATAGTGTTAATTTCACAGTTGTAAGTTATCTTTCAGTGGAATATGATTCTAAGAGTTGAGATTTATAAAAATCTTTTCTTCTGTTTGGAATGAACATAGGCAGTGAGAAATAGTATCTATGGTCGTCCAGGGGCTTGTTATGTTGACATACCTGCAGATTTTGTGACCCATCAGGTGGATGTGTCTTCTGTAAAGTAAGTAACAGTTATTTGAAATTCTTTCTGAAGTTAATATTGTTATAATGCCTGCTATCTTTTTGAAAGAACTGGTCCATAAGTTTATGAATTCATGTTTGTTTTTAACCTTTGATGATTTAATAATTAACAGAATCTTTTAATTTTTTATGTGTGTGCCAGTCCTGAGATTTGAACTCAGGACCATGGCATTGTCTCTGAGCTTTTGTGTTCAAGGCTACTGTTCTGCCATTTGAGCCACAGCTCTACTTCCAGCTTTTTTTGGTGCTTAATTGGAGATGAGTCTCACAGATTTTCCTTCCCAATCATGATCCTCAGATCTCAGCCACCTGAGTTAGAATTACATTAAACTGAATCTTAGCTGAATTCTTTTTATTAAAATGATATTATTTAGTAACTATTTAGAGACTTTTTATCAAATACTTGAAGCTCCCTGATTTCCACATTTGAAATTCTTCCCCCAATAAGTACATATATGTATCACTACTAGTGTAGAATGGATTGTTGACAATTGTCCTAGTGTAAGCCAAAGGATGGAGTGATTGTTGAAAAATTCCTAGGACTCAATATATAAAGTCTTTGTCTAGCTATATGTTATTTTTAAATGTTCCAATAAGGTATTTTGATGATTTGTCCCATCCCTCCCTCCCCCCTCCCCTCTCTCTTTTTCTTTCTTCTCTTTTTTGGCCAGTCCTGGGGCTTGAACTCAGGACCTGGGCATTGTCCCTGAGCTTCTTTTGCTCAAGGCTAATAAACTACCACTTGAGCCACAACACCATGTCTGGCTTTTTCTGTTTATGTGGTACTGAAGAACCAAACCCAGGGCTTTATGCATGCTAGGAAAGTACTCTACCACTAAACTACATTCCCATTCTCCCCCCACCCCAATCCCTTTATTTCTTAACACTGAGTAACTAGAAGTACAGAAGTAATTTTTTCACCCTTGATAAAAGGCTCATTACTTAGGCAGTGCATCAACCTGGTACCATTTAATGGATTCCAGTTGCTGTGGACTCTGGTCTACTGGTGATATTTCCTTGATCTTATAAAGTGAGCCGTGTTTTCTCCATTTTAACAAATTCTGGAAAGGACTAGAAAAGTAGAAAGAAGTAATCTTTTCTTCTAAGAATTAACTTTTTGTTGTTGTTGTTGGTCATGGGGCTTGAACTCAGGGCCTGGGCTTTTTCTCTGAGCCTTTTTGATGCTCTATTGAGTCACACTGCCACTTCCAGCTTTTTTTGAGTAGTTTATTGGAGATAAGAGTCTCCTGGGCTGGCTTCACACTGTGATCTTCAGATCTCAGCCTCCTAAGAAGCTAGGATTACAGACATGAGCCACCAGCACCTAGCGAGATTAATACTTTTAACATTTAGTACTTTCCTGTTCCCTTTTCATGCATATCTTATTTATATATTTATTTAGTTATTTTTATTGTTTGTTTTGTTTTTGTTCAGGTTCTGGACCTTGAATTCAGGGATTGCCATCCCTAAGCTTCTCTGCTCAAGGCTAGTGTTCTACCACTTGAGTCACAGCTCCACTTCCAGATTTCTTGGGGGTAGTTTAGAAGCCCTGGCTGGCTTCTAAACACAATCCTCAGATCTAAGCCTTTTGAGTGGCTAGGATAACAGGCATGAGCCACTGACACCTGGCTGCATATCTTTTTTTTTTAAGTCCCATGGGGAAGAAACATTTTATTTGTTAATTATTTATTTATTGGTATTGCTCAGGTTTGAACTCAGGGCTTCACTTTTTTTTTTTTTGTGCCAGTCCTGGGGCTTGAACTCAAGGCCTGGGCTTCTTTTGCTCGGCTAGCATTCTACCACTTGAGCCATAGGCTAGTTCCAGCTTTTTCTGTTTATGTGGTACTGAGGAATTGAATCCAGGGCTTCATGCATGCTAACACTTCAAGTACTCTAACACTAAGCCATATTCCCAGCCTGTGCATTATGAAGCTTTAAAAATGAATGTCTTGATGCCTATAATTGACTTATAATGATTTGTGGGAAAATGCATATGTATGTATATATAAAGCAAATATAGTAAAATACATCTAGTGATTGGATCAGCATGGCAGGTATATGGAATTCATTGTACTCTTTCTTTCATAGGTATTTGAAGTTTCCAAAATAAGGACTTTTAGAGTTACCTCTTTTAATTAACAGAATTCTTTTATTTCCAGGTTCAAGGAGTGCTGCCTGCCACCTCCTATTAGCATGGCAGATACCTCAGCTGTAAATATGGCAGCATCTGTTATTAGGAATGCCAAACAGCCCCTTCTTATCATCGGGAAAGGTAACATTGAATAGAACTCTTTAGTCTTGCTAGCCTGTTAAGAAAATGGTTCTTTTTGGAAGTTGTCTCCATTATTTGTTATTATCTGCCTTAATGTTTGAAATTAGAATAGGAGGTTCTTCATCATAGAATTATCCTTGTATGCCCAGAAATCTCACTGTTAGGAAAAAAATCTCCCATTACTTCTTGGGACTTAAGTAAAATTTTTCTTTTTTTGGTGCTAGTACTTGGGCTCGAACTCAGGGCCTTTGTGCTATTCCTTAGTTTTATATTCAAGACTGGTGCTCTACCACTTGGTCCACAGTTCTACTTCTGACTTTCTGGTGATTAATTGGAGATAAAGTTTCACAGATTTTGTAGCCCAGTTTTCTTGGAACCATGATTCTTGTATCCTCAGCTTGTTTAGTAGCTAGGATTACAGGCTAAGCCACCTGCACTTAGCTTTTCTTTTTCTTTTTTTCAATTGTAAAACATTTAGAAAAATTTATAAATGCAGAAAAAATCTCTTTTTTGATGGTACTGGCATTTGAAGTTTGAACTCAGTATTTCATGCTTGCTCAGCTTGCTTGCTCATGGCTAGTGCTCTACCATTTAGAATTAACAAATAATGTTTGTTTATAGTAGCTATGACAAACATGTTATTATATTAAAATTTTTCTATATTTAGGATTTAAGATGGAGTCATCAAAAGAAAACTAAATTAAAAGGTGATTTTTTTCTTTTTTTTTGCCAGTCCTGGGCCTGGGTGCTGTCCCGAGCTTCTTTTTGCTCAAGGCTAGTGAGCCACAGTGCCACTTTTGGCTTTTTCTGAGTAATTCATTGGAGATAAGAATCTCATGGACTTTCCTGTTTGGGCTGGCTTCAAACTGCGATCCTCAGGTCTCAGCCTCCTGAGCATCTAGGGTTACAGGTGTAAGCCACCAGTACCTGACAAGATGTGAATATTTTTAAGGTTTTTGGACTAATGTCAGATATTTGTCCTTATGTGTTATGCCAAACAATTTATGTACTTTTAAGCAGCTTATTGTTGTTTTTACTTTTGCTTTTTTTATTTTTTATTTTTGTCAGTCGTAGGGCCTGAATTCTGGGCCTGGGCGCTGTCCCTCAGCTCTTCAGCTTAAGGTTAGTGCTCTACCACTTGAGCCACAGTGCCACTTACGGCTTTTTCTGTTTATGTGGTGATGAGGAATCGAACCCAAGGCCTCATGCATGCAAGGCAAGCACTCTACCACTGAACCACCTTCCAAGCCCCTGTTGTTGTTGTTTTTGTTTTAAGACAGTGTCTCCCAGGGTGGTCTCAAACTCATGATTCTTCTGCTTCAGGCTTTTGGAATTAAAACTATACACTACTGTGTCAACTAACAAAGTCATTATTGCATCTATTTTCTGGTCTAGAATTGATACTATTGTATATCAATATCTCACTTGTAAAATAGGGATATTAACTACCCCAATAAGGTATAATTAAGTAGCATAGTATGTGCAAAGCTTTCAGTGAATGCTTGCTTTCCTTCTTTCTTTAGCAAACACTTGATGAGTATTTATGATCAGAAAAGGGCAATAGAAAGTATTTATGAGAGATACAGAGAAATAATGATAATTTATGGGGGAAATTGAGCTGGTAACAAATGAGTGTAGTATACTCTTAATAGCGTGTATAGAAAGGGTGAAGTGGAGTCTCAGAGAAAGAGTAAATTTGCCTGAGTAGGTGGTGTGAAAAGATAATCTGGAAGAAGTAGCACAAAGTACCTTGAAAAGGTAACAGTTCATCAGGAAGATAGGGAAGTAAAAGCTTCCTCTAGGAAGAGGACTGAAGATTCACTGAGGTAGAAGGACAGTAAGAAAACTTTTTGAATGGAATACAGGAAACTGTTTTTCATCATACACACATAGGAAAGGATTCTGAGATTGTCATATAGGGGAAACACAATGTTGAATCTGAAAGCACAATATACTATTTCCTAGGATTCCATCAAGAAGTATAACTTTCAGGGCTGGGAATGTGGCTTAGTGGTAAAAGTGCTTGCCTAGCATGCATGAAACTCTGGGTTCGATTCCTCATTACCACATAAACAGAAAAGGCCAGAAGTGGCACTGTGGCTCAAGTGGTAGAGTGCTAGCCTTGAGCAAAAGAAGCTCAAGGACAGTGCTTACGACCTGAGTTCAGCTCTAAGACTGGACAAAAAAAAAAAAGAAGTGTAAGTTCCAAAGATGGATAATATTCTAGCCCTGAAAAGAGAGAGTATAGCATTAAATTAAATAGCTAAAAATTAATAGTGACTGTGATGCTGTGATGATAGTAGAAATGGACTTGTTCCCATATATTCCTATATTGTATAGGAAATCCTGCATCATTGAAACAAACAGTTGTTTTCAATGCCATTGAGGGCATGTGGTTATTCTGCAGGTGTACATTGTAAAAACAGATGGCCTGTGTCCCCCTTAACATTAGCTCTGTTACAATCACAGGATTGTAGAGCTATAGAAAGATGTGCAGAGCTTTAGAAACTCATGCACCCTAGAATAGCAGGTTTTGCAAAACAGATTTGCTGGTGGTTAGAGAGCCGTGTGTAGGGAGCCTTCCTCTTTCATAGCAATGGTGTTCCTTGCTCAGTAAAGATAGTGTGTTCAGGGAATTGTGGGACCATAGCATAGAGCAGGTAAGTGAGAACAGCAAGAGATACAAGAGGCGACTTTTGCTTAGGGTAAGATTTCTTCAAAATAATTGAGATTATGGGGGGATAACTAAAAACTACTGCTTTCATAAGCACTTTAAAATACCAAAGATAGAAAGCATAGTTACAGTTTATTTTGTGTTTAAGCCCATATATAAACAGAGAGTATTTGAGATCTTAAAAGCAATTTCATATGAAATATTTTGAGGGTCCCAGTGGTATGCTTAACCAAATAATCCCATGCATTTTTATTTCTTGTAGGAGCTGCTTATGCTCATGCAGAGGAGAGTATCCAGAAATTGGTGGAACAATGTAACTTGCCATTTTTGCCCACCCCTATGGGGAAGGGTGTGGTCCCTGACAACCATCCAAACTGCGTAGGTGCAGCCAGATCCAGGTGTGTGGCATTCCTGGTTTTTTTGTTTGTTTGTTTTAGTTGTTGTTGTTGTTTGTTGGGGGGGCTTGAACTCAGGGCCTGGGCACTGTCCCTGAGCCTCTCTGTGTTCAAGGCTGGAGCTCTACCACTTGTGCCATGGTGCCAATTCCAGCTTTTTCTGTGTATATGATACTGAGGAATGGAACCCAGGCCTCAACGCATGCTAAGCAAGTGCTCTACCACTAAGCCACACTCCCAGCCACCTGATTTTAAATATAGTAGCTTGGCAGATCTTAGTTTAACTTATTTTGTGATCTTAATGAATCTAGAGACAGGTTCTGAAAGAACTATATAATTTTAATAATTTTTATCATCTATTTCTTTTTGAACTCTTAAGCACTTTACAGATTTTATTGATCCTCTTCTGACCTCATGGTTCTAAATGCACTCATTTGAATTATTGTTCTACACATAGTTTGTTGTTTTTATTTGGATATTTTCAAGCTTTATCTTTATCTTTGGTTTTAAGCAATTTACTCATGATGTCTCTAGACAAGGTTTTCCTTTCATTTATCCTGTTTGGAGTTTTAAAACCATTTGTAATCATAAACCTATGTTTTTCTCTCTAAATTTGGAAAGTTCAAATTTTTTTTTCTACAACACTATCTCTCCTTTTTAACTCTTAGGTCCCTGAGTGACCTTGATAATATTCATCCATCTGTTCATTTCAGTTTTTTTGTATATTAATTTTTTTATTTTTCTATTAAGAATACCTATTTATTTCAAGAATATTTTTCTTCTTGGAGCATAGTTTAATAGCTGCTTTATTAACTCTTGTACATTTCAGATTAGCACCTATTTGTTGTCTTTTGGAAATTGATCACATTTTTCTATACTGAGTAATTTGGGTTATATCTTGGATTTTTGCATCTTACATTGTGAGATTCTGGACCATGATAAAATCTTCTGCTAAATACTGAGTTTTTTGTTCTACTATGAAATCAATGGATTGGGTTGGGTTAGATAGAGTTTAGTCTGTTGTTTCTCTCTTTCTTACTGTGGGCAGCAGTCCCAGAGTCAGCTGTGCCTCAGACTTTGTTTAGCTACTGTATGTCTGCACATGCTCAGCTTAGGACAGGCCCAAACACACATTGGCTGACACCCAGAATCAAGGATTTCTTCATGGCTCCCACTCCACTCTCTGCTTCTCAAAAGTCCCTTTTCATGGTCTTTGCTGCCACACCTGTCAGACAGAAGAGAAAAAACTTTTAAAAAGTATGGAAACTTCCCTATTTGCTTTAGACAACATGGGGTTTGGAGTCTTTTTAAGCTCCTTTTGCCAGAAAGATGGCATTTCTCTTGTAATTTTGCCTGCTTAGGAGCCCCCTCTATGCAACTCTACAATAAGTCACCCTCAGAAAAGGGCAGGGGAAGGGAGAAAAAAATAAGAAAGATGTGACCTTCTTCCTACATAGTCTCCAGCTTGGGATGGGGTCCTTTTTTCTGATCCTCTCCAAATTTTTGCAGTTTTTCAACTAGAGCTGCTCTTGAGTCAAAGCTAGGAGACAAAAGATGGAATAGAAAACTTGGGAACTCACCCTTATGTGGATCACTTCTTCAAATTTTGCAAATCCCCTCCCCCTAATTCACGTGATGTTCACTGTTCAGAATACTCTGGAATTTGCTTTTCCTATCTTGTCCAGAGTTTTCCATTGTAATTGTTGGGAGAGCTAAGCTGTAGTAGATTTATGCCCAAGCTTGACTGGCACTGGAAACCTCCTCTTTTTTTTTTTTAATGAAGAATTTTATTTTATTTTTTTGCTGACATACTATGAAGCAAAACAAAATTGACACCATACAAAATAACTATAAAATATCATTCACATCATATTTTATCAGATTTACAGCATCTATGCATATTAGGGGTTATGTAATGAAGTGAAAAAACACTGTGTCAAACTTTTAGTTAATGTACACACATAAGAAATAGTCCAGGTAATGGTTAGTGTTTCCTATAAATTGTTTGCAAAAATTGCAAACTACTTAACCTAGTAAGCCGTCAAAACAAACTAGAAAATGACCCAGTTAAGCTTAAACATGACAATAGATGCTCACTGTCTCAGCATTGAGCTTTCTTTACCAGTTGTCTTGTCTGGGCACAGCATCCTCATCTGGTCAGCATGATGAGGGCTGCTAGTCCCCAAGGCCCCCAGGCCAGGCTGGGACAGCTGCTGCACCTTTAGAGTCATATGGAAGCCTCTTCTTTTAAGTGTGCCTTTTGAGACACACTTTCTGATATATCAACCTATTTTTCTTTTTCTTATAAAGCTCCTTAATTTAATTTTTCAATCAGCTTTTTAGTTTTTTCCATGAACAATGTGGAATTTTCTCTAATATCTATATCTATCTATATATATTTGGGTTGTATCTTGGATTTTGATATATATATATACATATATATATATATATATATACTAACCCATAAATATATATTATATGTTACTATATGCTTAATACCTATATATACTTTAAGATTTATTTGCTATTACAGATTAAATATCTTATAAATTATAGTTCCAGATTATTTCTGTGTTACTTAGCTCCACTGCGGAACTCTTGTGTATATTAATTATTGTGTGTAGACACTCGGAGCTTTATAGCACAAAACATGATTATTATCCAAAGTAAAGGAAACTTGGTAGGTTGCTTTTCTTTGAAGACCTTCATTGGTTCATTTTCTCTGCAGTAATACATACCTTAGACTGAGTATTTTTACACTTGAGGTACAACTCCATTTTTAGCTTTTTTGATAACTTATTGGAGATAAGAATCTTATGGACTTTTCTGCCCAGGATGGCTTTAAACTGTGACCCCCAGGACTCAGCCTCCTGAGTTGCTAGGATTAGAGGTGTGAGCCACCAGCTCCCACCATATACTGAACATGTTAGTGGAGATATTTGCTGTAAAAGTACAAAGAAATCAAGGACATAAGGACATGCAATGAGCTGAATGTGTCCCTCCAAAGTGCATAGAGACTCAATCATTATGGTGCCATCAATAAGTGGGGCTTTTGGAAAAATGATTTGAGTAAGAAGGGCAACCCTCATGAATGAGATTAGTACCTTATGAAAGAAATCAAAGGAAACCTTGGGACCCCATCCACTGTATGAAGACAGCAACAAGCCTTCTCCACAGTAGAGAAACAGGCTCACCAGACACTGAATCTGCTAGGCTCTTTTTCTTTCTTTTTTTGTGACAGAGTCTCACTATATCTGTAGCTCAGGCTGAACATTTCAGATAGTACTATACAACTTTGTCATATTAACTTCGGCTTTCTTTTCTTTTTTTGAGATAGAATCTGAATATGTAGTCTAGGCTGGCCTTGAACTGACTATGTAGCTGAAGATGGCGTTGAGCTCTTAATCATCCTGTCTCAGCCTTCCAAGTACTTGGATTTACAGATGTGTACTGCCATCACTATACTAGGCAAAGGTTTTTGTGTGTTTATGGGTTTGTTTTTTTAACAAAAAAATTACAGATTAATATTCTGTGTATCCTTCTCTTGTGGTCTCCTTTATTCTCTGTAGTTTACCACCATCATGCAGTTGATGTCTTTGTTCTCTTCTATGAGATAAAATGAATTTTGAGCCTTTAAATAATGTCTTATTTGGACTGGGAATGTGGCTGAGTGGTAGAGTGCTTGTCTAGCATTCATGAAGCTCTTGGTTCAATTCCTCAGTATCACATAAGCAGAAAAAGCTGGAAGTGGCAGTGTGGCTCATGTGGTAGAGTGTTAGCCTTGACCAAAAGTAGTTTAGGGACCATGCCCAGGCCTTGAGTTTAAGCCCAGGACTGGCAAAAATTAAAAACAAAAAAAACCTTGTTTACTGCTTAATTGTTGCTTATTTAATACTATCTTATGAGATCATGCTTTTACTTTTAATATATTTGGTAAAATAACCAAATTAACTTTTACATTATTAAGTTTTTAAAGTATTTTAATTTTGATTACAGTTTATCTTCATTCTAGCCACATTTTATGGCACTACAGTATAAGAGAGGCTTGCAGAGAACTATAGTTTGATCAATAATTTAAAGGATGAGTATCAATAAGTTAATTTATCCTGCCTCTTAGAGTTTTTATCAATTAAATATGGTCACCTAGAATAGGTACAGCATATGCAAATACTTTTTGAGTATATACTTGAAATGATAATAGAATTCCTGTGGGAAAAAAAATGTATTTATTACTGGAGAAGACAAACAGAACAAAAAAAAAACCCCTCAAAATATAGGGGAAAAAAGCAGTCAAAAAGCAAAACAGTGAAAAGTAAAACCAAACATAACTGCTAGCAATTATGATGAACTCTCTTGGAAAAAGGCAAAAATATTCAGATTGGATTGATAATAGTAACAGCTATGTGTGTTACAGAAGCCATATCTGAAACAACATGATATAACTTAAAAAAGAAGACTAGGCAAGATCTACAAGGTAGGGGCTGGGAAGTTGGCTCAGTGGTAGAGCTCTTGCCTTGCATGCCTGGGGCCCTGGGTTCGATTCCTCAGCACCACATAAGCACAAAGAAAAAAAAGCTGGAAGTGGCGCTGTGGCTCAAGTGGTAGAGCTCTAGCCTTGAGCTGAAGAGCTGAGGGACAGCGCCCAGGCCCAGAGTTCAGGCCCCATAACCGGACCCCCCCCCAAAAAAAAAAAAGATCTACAAGGTAAACAAAAAGAAAGCAGGTTATCTATAATAATGTCAGTGTGATATCAAAGGAAGAATCATTAGAGATTAGAGATATATTAGAGTCACTTAACTTTTTTTTTTTTGTCAGTTGTGGGCCCTGAACTCTGGGCCTGGGCACTGTTCCTCAAGGTTAGTGCTCTACCTAGGGCTTCATGCATGCAAGGCAACACTCTACTGCTGAGCCACCTTCCCAGCCCCTAGAGTCACTTAACTTATTGGTCAAGATACAACATAGATTGGAAATATAAGACATATAAAACTGTTAGACATTCTTGGTATAATTTTTTTAGCCACTTGGTACATGTTTATTTATTGGGCTTTATATATATACATATATAATATACATATATATATCAACATATATATATGTATATATATATATATATCAATAAGTTAAACAGATAAGCTTCCCGTCCTAATAGAGCTTTACTTCCAGTGGGGTGGGAGTAGGTATTAATACAATAAACAGTCAATAGTCAACCTAGTAAAGATAAAAATATAATCCACATAAGTATATTAAATACTCATAAAGAATGTTATGAGATGCTAAGTACAATTGAATAAAAGGAATTGAATGAAGCAGGGTAGTTGGGCACCAGTGGCTTATGCCTATAATCCTAGCTACTTAGGAGGATGAGACCTGAAGATTGAGGTTTGAAGCTAGCCCAGTCAGGAAAATCTGTGATAGTCTTATCTCTAGTTAGCTAGCAGAAAACCAGAAGTAGAGCTGTGGCTCAAGAGGTAGAGTACTAGCCTTGAGCAAAAAAGCTAAAGGACAGTGCCCAGCCCCTGAGCTCAACTCCTAGTGTACACACACACACACACACACACACAAGCACGCACGCACACGCGCACGCGCACACACACACAAGGAAAGAAAAGAAAAAGGATAAAGTTAGGTAGTGGGTACTGAGAGTGGATGTATACCCATGTGTTTCATTAAAGTGAAGGAATTCTTTGGACACTTATCCAGTTCTCTTTCTCTACTTATGAAAAGTTCTTATTGGAATTCACAGCCATATAATATTACTGCCTGCTAACTATAAGTAAACTTATAGCACCATAGGTAGGCTTCTTGAAATTTTTCACTGTGCAGAGGACCCAAGCTACAATGATCAAGTTACTAGAAACTAATTGGTGATGCCTCACCTGATCTTTTGGGCCAAGTATTGTGGTCCTTGCCTGTAATCCCAGAGTTTATAAGGCTGAGACAGGAAGATTGAGAGATTAAGTCCAGCTTGATATAAAAAGCAAGACCCTGTCTCAAAAACCAAAATAATAACAACAAAAAAGTATTCAGTATGAAGGATCATATTTATTCTGAAAGCTGTTTTGCAAATCTAATGTAAGCTCCAAGTTATTCAGACTACTTTAAAAATTAATTTTAGAATAAATCAAGTAAAAGATATGTCTAGTTTTTGTGTTATATCAGATTTTTTTTTAAATAGGGCTTTGAAATATGCTGATGTGATTGTGTTATTTGGTGCAAGACTAAATTGGATTTTACATTTTGGACTGCCTCCAAGATATCACCCACATGTGAAGTTTATTCAGGTACTCAGAAGAGATTTCAGATCAGAGCTATTTGTGGTTCATTGTTCACCTTCTCAGCTATTTTCACCTCTGCTCTCTTTTTGGCTTTTGTAAAGAACCTCTTCTCTTTTTACAAAAATGAATTTTATAAGCTGTGTAACATAATTACATGTACCAAGGTAAGTTGGCTTTTCAAGCCTATAAAGCATAGCCTGCCACTTCCCACCAGAAAATCTTTCAAAATCAAGTTTCAAATGGTTTGGAAAGCATAATTTGCCTCTTTTTTACAGTTTGAGTGTATTTAAAGATAGAAAAAAGAGGTTTAATAGAGTTGTAAATTTATTTATTTTTTAATATAGAGTGGTAAATTTAGAATGAAGCATTTACCATTGTTAAAGAATGTATCTTTTGTAAGTGTGTGCTGGTCCTAGGGCTTGAACTCAGGATCTTGGTGCTGTCTCTCAGCTTTTGTGCTCAAGGCTAGAGCTCTACCACTTGAACCACAGCCCTGCTTCTGTCTTTTTGTGATTAATTGGAGATAAGTGTCTCATATACTTTCCTGCCCAGGCTGGCTTCAAACTATGATCCTCAGATCTCAGCCTCCTAAGTGGCTAAGATTACAACAATGAGCCTACTTTTCTTTTACATGTAAAACCTTTCACTTTATGGTTAGAAATCTCTACACCACTCTGTTTTCACCTAGGAAACTATCCCAGACCTGCTGAAATCAGAAACTCTGAAGTGGCCTCTTGCAATCTGTGGTTTAACAAGCCCTCTAATATATGCTATATGTTTGAATTTGAGAACCTGTGCTCTAGGTATCTATTCAAAATGTAATTCAGTAGAACCTGGTTAGATTCAAAGTATAACTCAGCAAATCAGTGCATTCCTGTGAGTGTAATGGGCCATACCAAAGTTCCATACAGTGCACTTTACTGTATTTTATTTTTATTACCTTATATTGGTTATACAGAGGGATATCTCATTGTTACATTTCCATTGAGTGTATTTTAAAGTGAAAGAAGATGATAAAGTTCTTTTTACTAGCTGTAATACTCAATATAGTTCTATGAACTTTTGCAAAGGAACGTCTTTAATATCAAATGTTCTTTATCATATGTTTTATATACTCAGTTCTTGTATTCAGCTTTTAACTGATTTCTTGTAAGAGATTTAAAATAAACATCACCAGGCACTGGTGGCTCACACCTATAATCCTAGCTACTCATAAGACTAAAGGATCAAAGTTCAAAGGCAGCCCAGACAGAAAAGTCTGAGAGTCCATATCTCTAATTAGCCAATAAAATGCCAGACTGGAGATATGACTCAAATGGTAGAACATCAGCAAAAGCACAAGGCTCTGAGTTCAAGACACAGTATTGACATATGTAAAAATAAATAAAGAATAAATATGACTGGTCATGGTTGGTACATGCCTGTTGGAGGCTAGCCTATGCTATCTACTTAGACCCTATCTCAAAAAGATTAAAAAAAAATAGATAGGCCTATCCTTCTGCCTTTTCTTTTTTAGGTTGATATCTGTGCAGAAGAATTGGGGAATAATGTAAGGCCTGCAGTGACTTTGCTGGGCAACATAAATGCTGTTACTGAACAGGTAAGAACTTTTTACCTGGGACTTAGCTTATGTTATAATCTTGATTTGTTTGGTGAAAGGTCTGTTGTCCTTTTTGAACAAAATTTATGATAGAGAGCACCTAAATCCAACTTTGGAACTTGGTAAATCCAGCTTGTACACAACTAAATAATTTTAGAAGACACTTAAAAATTTAAATTCATCCACTAGGCAAACTAGGATGTACTATGTAGGATCCAACTATCTGAAAAATTATAACTTTTCAGCCAAGAAATGGTTTACCCACTGAACAAAAGCTTTTTTTTTTTTTAATAATAAAGACCTTTTTTACTTTTCAGACTGTGTAATCAGTGACTTCTCTGGGTTCCTATTAGTTTTACATAATTTCTATATTTCAGTATGACTAATTTGTGACATGATCTTCAGGTGATACTTATAGCTATTCAATATCTAAGATGCAAGTCCTGTTCGTATATGAAATTACTCTGATCATTTGGTCTATCATAGGACTCTTAAGGGATTTGTCAGCCTTCCTGTAAGGGTTCTGTTGAGTACTGGTTCTCCTTGTAGTATCAGAGATTGACACTAAGGTTTAAGAGCCCCTGAGAAGGAGGTAGCACTTCCCTCTGTCCTATAGGAATCCTAACATCTAACAGAAGTCTATACTAACCCAGACAAACGCTTACCATGTTATCTATTTGTCTTCTATCAGTTTTGTTGCACAGAGGAAAAACAGTATGGACGATGTGAAGGGCAGAATAGTAGAACATTATAACTTTAGGAAGAGATTTTTCAGCTACTTTAGAGGCTGAGATCTGGAGGATTTTGATCCAAGGCCAGCCTGGGCAAGAAGTTAACAAAACCCTATCTAAACAAACAAGTGAAATCCAAGGCTGGCCTTGGAAAAAGTACTAGGGATGGGGCTCAATCAAGCCCTGAATTCAGATCCCAGTATTACCAAGAAAGAAAAAGAAAGTTGTTTTATTTTATTTTATTTTTTAAGGTATTAAGGTTTGAACTCAGGGCCTCACACTTACTGTGCTGGCATTCTACCTCTTTTTTTTTCTTCTTGTCGGTTATAGGGCTTGAACTCAGGGCTTGGGCGCTGTCCCTGAGCTCTTTTGCTCCAGGCTAGTGCTCTGCCACTTTAAGCCATAGCTCCATTTCCAGTTTTCTGGTGGTTAATTGGAGATGAGAGTCTCACAGACTTTCCTGCCTGGGCTCTCTTCAAACCTCAATCCTCAGATCTCAGCCTCCTCAGTATCTAGGATTACAAGTGTGAGCCACCAGTGCCCAGCTGCATTCTACCTCTTGAGCCATGCCTCTTGCCCTAGTTTTGCTAGTTGTTTTGGATATAGAATCTAACAGGTTTTCTTTGTTGTTGTTGTTTTGTTTTTTTAACATTGGCTGGTTTTAAACCACAGTTCTCTAGATCTCAGTTTCCTCAGTGGCTCAGTCCTGTTTTCCTAGCCACTCAGGAAACTGAGACACAAAGAGAGATTTTTAAAAGAAAATTTAAATTAATGCAATATAAATTAATGTAGAAAATTTTAAAAATTGTGAGAGTTTTGTTTTTGTTAACAGCTTTTAGAACAATTTGATAAAACACCATGGCAGTATCCTACAGAGACCAAATGGTGGAAGGCTCTGAAGGAGAAAATGGAGAGCAATGAAGCTATATCCAAGGTAATGTGGGACCCACTGAAACTCAGAGACACTTGGGCTGATGAATTACTTGGCTTTGCTATAACATGATATATGCATTCCTAGGAACCATCAATCTGAAAGATCACATGATAATAATCATAAGGCTCAAAAAGGGGTGGTGTTGCAGTCAGATGGGACAGTTGCTACTAAAATCCCTGGTGGCTCTTCTGTCAGCCCTAGAAGGTAGAGCACTGTACCTTGCTGGTTTTCACTCCATTCAAGCTCTCTACAATTATGGATGTGACACAACTAACTCCTTTACTGCCAGTGTGTGGGAGTAGAACTGAATTTTGAGATCGTATTCTATAATCCTAACATTTTCATTTTAAATTTGGAACCATAATATGTTTAGATAAAAATACTGCAGAATAAAATTTTCAATTTTTCTGAGGCAATGTTTTCCTAAGAGTGCTCAAAATGGTTTATTTTTGTTTAACTCAGTGTTTCCCAGTTATGGGACTTAAGGACTTTCCAGAATTTTCCATGTTACTGTTTATCTAGGATCTCTAGGACAAGAGATATTTTCCAGCTTATTTGATTATGTCCTAAACTGGGATCTGGAACACATTATTCTTTTTTTTAAATTTTTTTTATTGTAAAGATACTGTACAGAGGGGTTACAGTTACATGAGTAAGGTAATGAGTACATTTCTTATAGAGCATTGTTACCTCTTCCTTTATTTTCCCCCTAATATCCTTTCCCTCCCCATCTCCCCAACTCCCCCCTCCCCCACACCAAGTTGTGAAGTTCGTTTTCAACATAGTGTCTTGTACATCTCGTTACAATGGGTCATCTTGTAAACTTGTTTCAGCATTTTGTTATTTCCCTTCCCTTCCCCAAATTAGAAAAAATGAATATACAAGATTCAGGGAACCAGAATCAAATACAGTGACAACAGGAGTTATACTATAGGGGGAAGAACATATAAAAGAAACAAAAATCACATAGTACATTAAAAACAACAGTGACAAAGAAAAAAACCTCTTGTGTCCCTATCTTGGCGTTCATTTTGTTTAACATCATTTTCTAAGGTCATATGTACATAGCTTTTGACCTTTTCTGCTTGTCTGATAAGATTACACATTTTTCTTGTATGTCCCCATACATAGGTCAAAGTGTAGCCATGAGTATCTTATAGCTCATAGATGTTGCCCACCTGTTCCCAAATAAGTTTGATAGATAGTAGCTTATTGGCACTGTTTGTTTCCATTGTATCTTAATCTAATTTAGAGCATATTCCTCTCTCCTGTTTTAGGAGTTAGCTTCCAAAAAGTCCCTACCTATGAATTATTACACAGTATTCTACCACATTCAAGAACAGCTACCCAGAGACTGTTTTATAGTAAGTGAAGGAGCAAATACTATGGACATTGGACGTACTGTGCTTCAAAACTATTTTCCTCGTCACAGGTAAGAATTCTAAGAAAGACCCTGGCACCAATAGCTGCTACTATTCCTAGCTAATCAAGAGGCTGAGATCTGAAGATAGCAGCCTGAAGCCCACAAGGGCAGACTTTTTGTTGGTGGTGGTGGTAGGATTTGAACTTAGAGCCTGGGCACTGCCCCTGAGCTCTTTGGCTCAAAGCTAGTGATCTGTTGCTTTGAGTCACACCTCCACGACAGGTTTTGAATGGTTAACAGGAGATAAGAGTCTCATGGGGACTTTTCTTTCTTTTTTTGGGGGGGAGGGTCTGGTCATGGGGCCTGAACTCTGGGCCTGGGCGCTGTCCCTCAGCTCTTCAGCTCAAGGCTAGCGCTCTACCTCTTGAGCCACAACGCCACTTCCGGCTTTTTTCTTTTTGCTTATGTGGTGCTGAGGAATCGAACCCAGGACTTCAGGCATGCAAGGCAAGCGCTCTACCACTGAGCCACCTTCCCAGCTCCTCATGGCTGACTTCAAACCACAATTCTCAGATTTCAGGCTCCTGAGTACAGGCGTGAGCCATCAGCACCTGGCCTCTGAAAGACTTACCTTCAGTAAACCTGCAAAAAAAGAACCCAAAGGGCTGGGAAGGTGGCTCAGTGGTAGAGCACTTGCCTTGCATGCCTGAAGCCCTGGGTTCGATTCCTCAGCACCACATAAGCAAAAAGAAAAAAGCCAGAGGTGGCGCTGTGGCTCAAGTGGTAGAGTGCTAGCCTTGAGCTGAAGAGCTGAGGGACAGCGCTCAGGCCCACAGTTCAGGCCCCACGACCGGACCAAAAAATAAGAACCCAAAAAACTTTACATTGGAGGTATGGCTCAATAGTAGCGCTCCAGATATGAGCAGAAAAAGCTGAGGAAGAGTGTGAGGCTCTAAGTTGAAGCTCTAGTACCAGCCAAAAATAAGATTTCCAAGAAGGAAATTATAATTAATTATATGTAATTTGAAACTACAACAATGCAGATTAAAAAAACATTTGAGGGGTTGGGAAGGTTGCTCAGTGGTAGAGTGCTTGCCTTGCATGCATGAGGCCCTGGGTTTGATTCTTCAGTACCACATAGACAGAAAAAGCCGGAAGTGGTACTGTGACTCAAATGGTAGAGTGATAGCCTTGAACTGAATAGCTGAGGGACAGTGCCCAGGCCCCAGGACCGACCCAAAAAGAAAACATTTGAGGACTGTATGTTCGATGTATAAGTATTCTTAGGTGAAGTTTTATATGCTTAGTATGTCTCTGGTAGCATGTGATAATTTGTATACTTAATGTTCTCTAAATAGACATGAGTTACTGTTTCTTCTCATGTTCCTTGTCTTTGACAATTTAGTTTCTTATACTCTAAATATTTAATGTAGAAGAAAAGGAGCATCTATTTTTTGTTTTTTCTTAAACCATGTAAGTATAACTAGAAAATTTGTGCCAGCCCTACCCTCTGTTTCATGCTCCAGAGTTTTATTTTAGCTTTGTTCCCTAACAGGCTTGATGCTGGCACTTTTGGAATAATGGGTGTTGGTTTGGGATTTGCTATTGCAGCTGCTCTAGTGGCTAAAGATAGAAACCCCAATCAACGGGTCATCTGTGTGGAAGGAGACAGTGCCTTTGGCTTTTCTGGCATGGAGGTGGAAACCATCTGCAGGTAAAACAGAGTCCTTACACATGAGACCTACTTGACTGACATAGTTGCCAGGTGTTCATCATTGCCCGGTGCCTTGTGTATAATATGGTACTGTGTCTTGAGGATCCCAATTTAAGTGACCAGGATTTTTCTCTCCCAAGACAGTATGATCATACTAAAAATCTGCATTTCTGTGGAAAGTAGTTTTGAGATCACTGAAGAAAAGATGTTGAGGCCTAAGAGAAGCTTGTTTTCTGCTTGGAGATGGAGAGCTTAGCCTCTGGGACAAGTGATCCAAATTTAAACACTGGTTCCACCATGTCAGAGCTAAGTGGCACTCATCTCTAAAACAAGCATAGGAATACTTCCTGCCTTGCAGATGGTTGTGAGGACCAAATGAGATCATTAGGTTAACATTTAAGATGCAATTCAGTGAATGTGTGCCATTCATATATCTTGTAGTTGTGAGTATTCTTGGAGAAACTCATGAGTGTGACTCTACTATACAAGTATGAGAGCTTTATCCCCCAGCTATATTTACCTATGGTAAAAAAAAGCATTCTAAGTCAGGGCTCTTATATAGGTCTTTTGATATTTGACATATCAAAGCTTTGAAAGATGTTTTGGATCTTTCAAAGCTTTGATACATAAAACTGTCAAGATGAAGGGTAAGATTGCCTGTTAGAATGTCTCTATTGACAACTAAGTGATATATACCAAAAAGATAATTTATGAGGAAATTAGTCTTCCAGAGAATAGTCACTCCTTTTTAGCATAAAGAACAAATAGTTACCACATTTCTCTTAATTAACAGTGGGCACTGTAGTTTTGTCTGTACCACCTGACCTCAGATATTATGTGTAAAGAAAGCAAGACCCATATTCTTTTCCAGTCACTAATGAGGTTTAATCAGTCTTTTTTTTGTCTTTGCTATAGTGTATAGCAAATTGCTAGATGTTCTTTTTCCTCTACTGATCACACCATGCCATGTGTTTCTGATTACAAGTGCAGTGTTTTGAATGCACATTGAGAATGTTAGTCACTGTGTCTCATGGCATCTAGTAAGGGCTGCTTGTCTGTGAGGGGCTCATTTAAAAGAAATATTACTTCTCAGTGCTCCTAGGAACCATATGGGGTATTAATTAGGAAAGATGTTTTTCGTTTTCTTTTTTTTTGCATTTCAGACAAAATAGATGTGTTTTATTGGCATATGTGTGCATAGGCAGAATTAGTATCAGAATATATTAGAAACTCAGAAAATGAAACACCAAAATAAGCAATAATCCAATTGGTAAATGGACAAGGGATCTGAAAAGACATTTTTCAAATGAAGAAGTACAAACAACTAATAGATGAAAAACTACATGAAAAACTAGTTAACATCTTCACCATCAGGGAAGGTGTTTTTCCTATTAACATCTGGATCTTCAAAAATCAAGATTCAGAAGAGTCCAGCAGTTTGCCCAAGATCCATAGCTAAAAAATGAAATAAGAATACTACCCCCCATTCTTGCATTCTTTTTACCACTACTTAGTGTTTCTGTTTATGATTTGGTATTTTTTACTAGGATGATAAACACATGAGTTTTTAAATTTTCCTCTTCATTTTTATAATATGAAGAGGAAAGATGTCATCTATAAGATGTCATCTATTTTTAAAGTGAAAATTTCAGCCTAAAGAAAACAAATTGCTTTAGATTAAAAATAGTTTCCTGGGCTGGGAAGGTGGCTCAGTGGTAGAGTGCTTGCCTTGAATGCCTGAGGCCCTGGGTTTGATTCCTCAGCACCACATAAGCAAAAAGAAAAAAGCCAGAAGTGGTGCTGTGGCTCAAGTGGTAGAGTGCTAGCCTTGAGCTGAAGGGCTGAGGGACAGTGCCCAGGCCCAGAGTTCAGGGCCCACAACCAGACCCCCCCCAAAAAAATAGTTTCCTCCATATTTTGCTTTCACTTACAGGTACAATTTGCCAATCATACTCTTAGTAGTGAACAATAATGGAATTTACCAAGGTATTAATACAGATACTTGGAAAGAAATGTTAAAATTTCATGATGCAACTACAAGGTGAGTATTTGCTTGGTCTCATTTATTTTAATCTCTGCTTTAAAAGTTTATTGTATCAGGGTGGCATATGCCTCTAATCCCAACTAATTGGGAGGCAGAGACAGAAGGGTAGAGGTTTAAGGCCAATCAAGGCAAAAATTATCAAGACTCTACTAATGTATATAAAATTGAATATGAACAGCATTTTTTACCCATATATAAGAAGAACTAAAAGAAAATGCTATAATAATAATCTAGTTGGGCTGGGAAGGTGGCTCAGTAGTAGTTTTTGCCTCTCATGCATGAGGCCCTGGGTTCAATTCCTCAGCACCACATAACCAGAAAAATAAAGTTGGAAGTGGCACTGTGGCTTAAGTGACAGAGCGCTAGCCTTGAGCTAAAGAGCTGAGGGACAGCGCCCAGGCCCAGAGTTCAAGCCCCACGACCGACCAAAAAACAAAAAAATCCAGTCAATAAATAAGAGATGAATATTGTTTGTTTTGATATTGATTCTTAATAAGCCAGCCCTGTATTCCTGATTCCTCTGATCACATGATCTATGATTAGGTGCTACATAAATAGTTTATATTCAGATAGCCACTGAAAATTCACATCCATAAGTATCTTGTTAATGACAAAGCTTATTGCAAAAGACCCCAAACCTATTATTCCTATACGAGGGAGAAAATATGGTCTTCCTTTCTGTTACTACAAGAATAAATCTTGGTCATCTGATGGCAGAGTCAATCTAAGATAGTGTTATAACTTGCTATGGAGTACAGGACAGATGTAAATGTATGAACCTGAGGTGGTACAGGATACCAACATGTTTGTTTATGCTGCCCTGACTTCGAGTATTGTATCATTGCTATTTTTCTGTAACCATTCTTTTTTTTTTTTTACTCATATAGTTGAAAGTGTAGGCTGTACTGTATAGTGTAGTAGCCACTAGGGCTGAGAAGGTGGCTCAGTGGTAGAGTGCTTGCCTTGCATGCATGAGGCCCTGTGTTCGATTCCTCAGCACCACATAAGCAAAAAGAAAAAAGCCGGAAGCGGCGCTGTGGCTCAAGTGTTAGAGCGCTAGCCTTGAGCTGAAGAGCTGAGGGACAGCGCCCAGGCCCAGAGTTCAGGCCCCACGACCGGAACCCCCCCCCCCCCCAAAAAAAAGTAGCCACTAGTCACATGTTACAGCATAAATTTAATTAACATTAAATGAAATTAAAAGTTGAGCTGCTCAGTTTAATTGTATTTCAGTCACTCATGGCCAGTGGCTACCATATTGGCTATAAAACATTTCCATCATCACTGAAAATTCTGTTGGACTCAATTAAAAATGTAGAAAGCTAGATATAGTAGTATACCCTCATAGTCCCAGATACTCAGAAAAATATAGAATAAATTTTTTTGTTACATTAGACTTTTCATTATCATGATAAATACTTTTAAGAAACAGTTTATGGGAGGAAATATTCCTCTCTCTCTCTCTCACTCTCTCTCTCTTTTTCTCTCTTTTGGTCAGTTTTGGGGCTTGAACTCTGGGCCTGAGTGCTGTCCCTCAGCTCTTCAGCTCAATGTGAGTGCTCTACCATTTGAGCTGTGCACCACTTCTGGTTTTCTGATGGTTAATTGGAGATAAAGTTTCACAGATGTTCCTGCCCAGTCTGGTTTTGAACTGTGATCCTCAGATCTCAGCCTCCTGAGTAGCTAGGATTACAGGCATGAGCCACCAGTGCCTGCTGAGGAAATGTTTATTTTGTCACAGTTTCAGAGATTTTTTAGTTCACGGTAGACTGATTCTATTACTTTTGGCCTAAGGAAAAGTTGCACATCATGGCAGAGTATAAGGTGCAACAAAGGAGCTCTCCTCATGGCAGTCAGGAAACACAGCAAAGCAGTAACAGGAAGGGGCGAGGGCAAGTTATAGCTCCCAAAGACTCACTTTCAGTGATTTACTTTCTCCAACCAGGCCCTATCTTCCACAGTCACCTTCTAATAGTTTGTCCAGATTTTGGATCCAGTCACCTCCCCAAACCCCTATCTCTGAACACTGCTCACAGCAAGGACTAAGCTTTTAATATATTAGCCTTTTAAGGGAATGTTTGATAATCAAACCATATCATTCGTGTACTGACATCTCAGTTTAACTACTGGAGGTAAAAGTATGTCTTTCAGCTCAGCTTAAAGTTTGTCACAAACTATTTCATAGAATGATTTTTTTCACTGATTCATGATTTTCTTTTCAGGGCTCCTCCAGTGTGTCTCTTGCCAAATGCACATTATGAACAGGTCATGACTGCATTTGGAGGCAAAGGGTATTTTGTACAAACACCAGAAGACCTCCAAAAATCCCTGAGACAGACCCTGGCCAACACAACTGAACCCTCTCTTATCAACATCATGATTGAACCACAAAGCACACGGAAGGCCCAGGTAAATGCACTTGTTATGAAGAAAGTAAAAATTCATTTTCTCTCTCCCTGTTCTTCTCCAGAAAGGAACACTCTCCACAGTTCTTTCTAAGCCATTTCCAAGTTTGATAATTTCATGTCTTATTCACTGAATAAGGTAAGATTCTGGCAGGTGTTCTGTGTGAGAGAGAGTGTGCCAAGCAAAACTAGACTTACACTTCAGTGGGAGAGCTTACAGTTCAGTAGGGAGTAGGACAGTCCAGTGACCTCATGATTGAATAGTGCATGACAGTGTAAGGTAACTGCCCAGAAAGAACCAGTTCTAACAACAAACAGAACACTAAAGAATCTAATTTTAATCATTTTGTTGTTGCAAAGTTATTACCTAAACATGGAGATATTACAGTGATCCCTTACCTATTATGGGAATTATATTCTAGAGACCCCTGTAATAGGTGAAAATCCACAAAGTAGCAGCTTCAGATACTTGTCCCTCACTATATTGTGGTTCACTTATTGCTACTTTGTGGATTGTCACCTATCATGGGGTTCTCTGGAATGTAACTCCTGTGATAAGTGAGGAATCACTATTTCCCACAAATACATATATATTTTTAAAACTACGATATAGTGAAGCAGCAATATAGCAAAGGACAACTGTAGTTCTAGAGTTACTGAACAGTAGTCATACAGGTTACTATTCCTTGTGACTCTTACAAGCATTTTTTTTTTGTTGCTGTTGTTGGTTGTGGGACTTGAACTCTGGGCTTGGGCGCTGCCCTTGTGCTCTTTAGCACAAGGCAAGCCCTCTGCCTCCTGAGCCACAGCACCACTTCTGGTTTTCTAGTGGTTTATTGGAGATAAGAGTCTCACAGACTTTCCTGCCCGGGCTGGCTTTGAACCATGATCCTCAGATCTCAGCCTCCTGAGTAGCTAGGATTACAGGCTTGAGCCAACCGCGCCTGGCTACAAACATTCTTTTAACTAAAACAATTGCTGTACCAGGAAATTCTTAGTGATGGGTGCATTATTTATTTGGAACAAGTTCAGATAAGTTGCTTCTATTCTAAATTAATGGGGGAAAGGGGATTGATGGTAGGGGAGTGCTGAGAAAAGAAATATATGTGTTTTTAGTACAGTATATAATCTTTCAGTGTTAGCAGTTTTACAGTCTTAGTTCCTAATTCTAGCTTGCTTTAGATTCCTGTATCACAAGTCTTACGCTAGCCTGCCTCAGTTCTGTGATTGTTCTTATATTTCCTGCATTTAGCCACTTGAATATTATTTTCATTCCAGTAGAATTTTACATATACTACAGGCCACATGTGTAGGGTGCAATTGGTGCTTGTAAAAGCTTTTATACACACTTCTTTCTACTCTCAGACTTGAAAGCTCAAACCTCTGTGGGCTTCCATTATCTCCTCTCTCCATTTGAGTTCATTTCTGTTTCTGTCAGACTCTATTGTCTTTTGTGGCCTGATTACTGTTAGTGGAAGAGGTCCCAGAAAGCCATTTTAGGTTGTTTCACAACGCAAGGCAGGATAAAGTTTATCAATTTTAGCTCTGTTTTTACTAGGCCAAAGGCAAATCATTTTATTATCATTGTATAGTTCAGTACATTTGCTCTTTCTGACTGAATGCTATCTTTTCTTTCTCTAGGAATTCCACTGGCTCACTCGCTCTAATATGTAAATAAAGATGTCAGTTGATGGTCTTTGAGTTTTTCTTTCTTTCTTTTTTTTTTTTTTCCTGTTGTGGGACCTGAACTCTGGGCCTGGGCGCTGTCCCTCAGTTCTTCAGCTCAAGGCTAGCGCTCTACCACTTGAGCCACAGCGCCACTTCCAGCTTTTTCTTTTTGCTTATGTGGTGCTGTGGAATCGAACCCAGGGCCTCAGGCATGCAAGGCAAGCGCTCTACCACTGAGCCACCTTCCCAGCCCTGAGTTTTTTCTTTCTTACAAAGTGGAATTTTATTTTCTGCAGCATAAGTACACTAATATTAAAATTGTACAAAAACTTTATGAAGTATATTTTATAGTAAAGGAATGGATTAAAAACTGAAGACACTATTATCCTCAGAGGTTAATATGCTTTTAAAGGCTTGACATTAACCTGTGGCACTGTTAGTGATGATGGAACCATCTGAAAAATGTTGGCCCTTCCTCCTACATCTTACTCAGTCTGCCACCCTAGACCTTCGGCAAAACCAAAACTGCCTTTCCCTGAAATCAGGTGACACAGGCCTTTACCTGCAAACAGGTGACGTAGGTAGCTGCAATTTCAAATAGTATGCAGTTTCCCTCTCCCTTGTTTGTGCAGTTAAAACTGTAAATATTAACTCCTTCCACAACAGTTTCCCACTCATGTCTTACATGAATCTGCTCTTATAAAAGTTGTACTTGTAATCTGCCCAGCTGTTACTCTCTGCCTGTGAAGTAGCCTATCAGTTTACTGACATTAAATCTCGTTGAATGTGACCAAGTGTCCAAGTGATTTTCTTTTTTTTTTTTGGTCCGGTCGTGGGGCCTGAACTCTGGGCCTGGGCGCTGTCCTTCAGCTCTTCAGCTCAAGGCTAGCGCTCTACCACTTGAGTCACAGTAATGAAAAGCAGAATAGCACAATAGTCTACTACAGAAATAACTATTTAAGGGGGGTTGAGGGTTAAAACCTGAAGGTTTGGCTCAAGTAGTAGAACATCTGCCTTGTAAACACGAGGCCCTGAGTTCAAATCTCAGTACCACCAAAAAAAGAGTTACCTAATATAGAGACATATTCAGTAAGTTTGGGTATGTAGGCTAAGCTCTTTTAATTTGTATTTTGTCCTGATCACTTAATAGCTTAGTGCCTATTGGAACTTGTCCTATGTTTATGAATTGGTTGCTTTTTTTTTTTTTTTTTTCCGGTCATGGGGCCTGAACTCTGGGCCTGGGTGCCGTTCCTCAGCTCTTCAGCTCAAGGCTAGCACTCTACCACTTGAGCCACAGCACCACTTCCAGCTTTTTTTTTTCTTCTGCTTATGTGGTGCTGAGGAATCAAACCCAGGGCCTCATCCATGCGAGGCAAGCGCTCTACCACTGAGCCGCCTTCTCAGCTCCTGGCTGCTTTTCTTATAAAGAAGTTACTGAGCCGAGGAAGAAATCATATCATACTCAAACTTATACTCTCAAAGTACATTTAGAACAGCAAACCCTAGTTTTTTATGCCACTTGGAAATCAACAGTTAGCTTTAATACAGTTATGTGTTACACAATGATATTTTGGTCAATCACCAAGTTTGTATACAAATATGACATTGGTCTCAGATGTTTACAATGGAATTGAATAGACCCTATAGTCCAGTTCTGTCTTAGCCGCCGTAGCCAAACAACACAACATATTGCTTGTGTATTTATTGTGATACTGTTGTAAACAAGCCTACTGTACTTCTGGGCATCTAAAACACAAAGTTATGTACTACATAATATCATGCCAATTAAAAGAATGACTTGTTAATTTATATATTTACTAAATATACTTTTTAGTCATTATTTTAGACTGTGTTCCTTGTGCTTATTTTTTAGAAGTTTGCTGTAGTATACAGTATGCTGTTATACTTGACACTTGTGTCAACCTCATACATCTTATCTTTAGTGTGTCTCATGATGGTATTGTTTTTCTTGTACTTCATTTAATCTTGTTTTGTTCATCATGGCCCTAGCACAGTATATGAACACACACACACACACACACACACACACACACACACACACACCATAGCTTAGATGTGTAGTAGGTTATGCCATCTGGATTTGTGTAAAATATACCCTATGATAATTTTGCAGACAAAATCATGTATGGACTGATTTAGCAGTAAATATTCTCATTATTAAATGACACATGACTGCATATATAACTGATATAAATAAGAAAAAATTAATGTACCAATACAGATTCTTATACTTCATGAAGTCTACTTCACAGAAAAAAATGTAGGTAATAAAAGTGAGTGTGAAAAAACAGTAATTGAATGAATCCTATGTATTTTCCAGTATAGGCAAGAATAAAATCCTATTAGATGAGCAAAATAGCAAAGCAGAAACTGGAAAAATGTATGTATGAAAGAAAATAGGACATACCTTTCAATAGTAACATTTATGTCAATGGTCCTAATTCACCAATCAGAAGATACAGAGTAGCAACTTGTATTAAAAAGCTAGATCCAACCTGTTATTGTTTACAAGAAAGACATCCACTGACAAAGACCAATAAAGACTTAGAAAGAAAAGCAGCCATGAGTCACCATACTTAAATCTGATAAGATAGACTTCATGTTCAATTAGAAGGGACATAGATGGTCACTTTATATGAATAAAGGGAACAATCCTTGAGGAAGTTATCGTGGTTAACATATATGCTCTAAACAGCAGTGTACCCAAATTCTTTAAACATTTATAGATTTGTAAGTACTGGTAGACCACAGCTAATAATAGTGTAAGACTTAATACCCAAGTCTCACCAATAGATTGATCATCCAAACAAAAAAATCAAGCAAGATACCAATGCCTCACACTTGTATTCTTAGCTGCTCAGAAGGCTGAAATAAGTATGACAGTTTGAAGCCAGTCTGGACAGGAAAGTCTGTGAGACTCTCATCTCCAGTTAACCACCAAAAGGCCAGAAGTAGAGCTCAGCTTTGAGTGAAAAAGCTAAGGCTCTGAGTTCAAGTGCCAATACCTGTGCGTGCACACACACATACACACATGACCAAAAAGGCAACCAAGAAGTCTCTCACAATGAGATGACACAATAACAGATGTCTACAGAGTATTTCATCTAATAGTAGGACAACACACATTCTTCTCAGGAGCCCACAGAACTTTCTTTAAAATGGATCATACCCAAGTATATAAGCCAAGACTTATCAACTACAAGAAAAGTGAAATAACACCTTGCATACTGTCACACCATTATAAAATTAAACTACAACTCAATGGCAAAAGATACTACAGAAAAAATGCAAACACCTCAAGACTGAACTGTTGAATGACTGAAGAAACAAAGCTACTGAAGAAATGAGATATCAAAGCCGGGCGCTGGTGGCTCGCGCCTGTAATCCTAGCTACTCAGGAGGCTGAGATCTGAGGATCACAGTTCAAAGCCAGCCCGGGCAGGAAAGACTGTGAGACTCCTATCTCCAATAAACCACCAGAAAACTGGAAGTGGCGCTGTAGCTCAAGTGGTAGAGCACTCGCTTTGAGCTGAAGAGCTGAGGGACAGCGCCCAGGCCCAGAGTTCAAGCCCCATAACCGACCAAAAAGAAAAAAGAAATGAGATATCAAAATGTTCTTATGAGTCTAATTAAAATGACAATACCACCTATAAAAATCCATGGGATAGGGCTGGGAAGGTGGCTCAGTGGTAGAGCGCTTGCCTTGCATGCATGAGGCCCTGGGTTTGATTCCTCAGCACCACATAAGCAAAAAGAAAAAAGCCGGAAGTGGCACTGTGGCTCAAGTGGTAGAGCGCTAGCCTTGAGCTGAAGAGCTGAGGGACAGCGCCCAGGCCCAGAGTTCAGGCCCCATGACCGGACCCAAAAAGAAAAAAAAAATCCATGGGATATACCACAGAGGCAATTTTAAGAGGAAAATGTGTAGCCATAGTGACTACATCAAAAGAACAGAGATGGGCTGGGAATGTGGCTTAATGGTAGAGTGCTTGCCTAACATACATGAAACCCTGGGTTCAATTCCTCAGTACTACATAAACAAAAAGCCAGAAGTGGTGCTGTCGCTCAAGTGGTAGAGTGCTAGCCTTGAGCAAAAGAAACTCAGCCATAGTGCCCAGGCCCTGAGTTAAGGCCCCAGAACTGGCAAAAGAAAAAAGAACAATGCCTAATGATACACCACAAACATTTAGAAAAACAGGAACAAACTAAACTCAAAATTAACACAGAAAGAAATAGTAAAGATTAAGGCAGACTAATTAGGGTAACTAAAAAGATTACAAAGAATTAATGGAACAAGTTGGTTCTTTGAAAAAACATAAGATTGATTGATAAACTGCTAGCTAATTTGATCCCCTCCCTCCAAAAAGAAGAGACTCAAGAAAATTTGAGGTAAAAAGGAACACCATGATAAGTACCAGTGAAATGCAGGTAGTCATGAGGGAATACTTTGAAATCCTGTACTTAAACTGGTAAGTCTAGGGGGGAAAAAGGGATAAATTTCTTTTTTCTTTTTTTCTGATCATGGGGCTTGAACTCTGGACTTGAGCACTGTCCCTCAGCTCTTCAGCACAAGGCTAGTGCTCTTACCACCTGAGACAGAGTCACTTTTGGTTTTCTGGTGATACTGGAGATAAAAGTCTCATGGACTTTACCTGCCCAGGCTGGCTTTGAACCATGACCCTCAGATCTCAGCCTCCTGAGTAGCTAGGACTACAGGCTTGAGCCAATAGTGCCTAGCAAGGGATAAATTTCTAGTACAGTTTTCTACCAAAGTTGAACCAAGAGAATATAAACCACCTAAATAGATCTATACAAGCAGTGATTAGATGGTCTTACTGAAGAATTCTATTAGATCTTTAACCAGGCTTGGGAATTCAGCTTACTTGCCTGGCAAGTGCAAGGCCCAAGGTCTGAGCTCCGTCCTCAACTCTGAAAAAAAAAAAAAAAAGCAACTAAGGAAGAGATAACATTAGTACTGCTCAAATTCTGTGAAACTTATTCTATGAAGTC